TAGCCTATAAATGTATGTATATATTCTAGAACCACCTCCCCGCCCAGCCCCCTGACACACGCTCAGGATGGGCTTTTACCAAATGATGTATACTTTGTGTTCTATTCTTTTGTTACTAGACCAAAGCTTGTTGATTATGAATTCTTCTCGCTCGAAGTGGAGGCGCCAAAACCTTTTGACTATATTGCACTAATGTATTCTGGGGGATGTTTTTTTTAGATACCGTAAAATCTGTACCGCAACCTTTCTGGTGCAAAAAAATACGATTTGGTATTAAAAGAATCTGGGTAAGTTATCACTCTATCAATCTATCGATTTATCGATCTATCGATCAATCATATTTAATCTAATCAAATCTAATAATCTAGCAATCTAATCTATCAATAATCTAGTTTATCTATTAATCTAATCTATTAATCTATCATCTATCATCTATCAATCTAATCTATCAATCTATTAATCTATCAATCTATCTATCTATCTATCTATCTATCTATCATCTATCATCTATCATCTATCAATCTAATCTATCAATCTAATCTATCAATCTAATCTATCAATCTAATCTATCAATCTAATCTATCAATCTGATCTATCAATCTAATCTATCAATCTAATCTATCAATCTAATCTATCAATCTAATCTATCAACCTAATCTATCAATCTAATCTATCAATCTAATCTATCAGTCTATCAATCTATCAATCTATCCTATCAATCTATCCTATAAATCTATTAATCTATTAATCTATTAATCTATCCTATCGATCTATCGTTTCAATCTATTAATCTATCAATCTTTCCCATCAATCTATCCTATCAATCTATCCTATCAATCTATCCCATCAATCTATCCTATCAATCTTTCCTATCAATCTATCCTATCAATCTATCCTATCAAGCTATCCTATCAATCTATCCTAATCAATATATCATTCTGTCTGTCTAAAGAGGAGCAAAGAAAAAGATTTGTTATGGCATCCTTATGAGGAGAATGAAGGAGTGAAACGAGATACTTATTTATAGGAAGAGAGAGGGGCTTAGATCAAGAGAAGGGGGGCAGGGGAGGTGTATTTAAATAAATTAGGCGGTGAAAGTTATCTCTAATAACAATCATCTCATTTTTCTAGTGTCTTTTCACGGCATTTTTATTTTTAATTATATTTTGATCCTATAATCAATGGCGCCATTCTTTGTGGATATATATATATATATATATATATATATATATAATATATATACTATATATATATCGCTAAACCTAGACACGATTTCATTTATTTATTTGGTATCCAAGACTCACCCAAAGCGACTGCACATTAACACTAAATCTAGACGGAGTTTATTTTTACCCTAAGCCTTGAACCTTGCCATACCCTAAACAAAAGCTGCATTTGTAGATCACGCAGATCAAAACTAGACTCTACATCTATATTCTGGACCTGTTTTCTACATTTAGACTTAAAACTTGAATCGTACAGACCGAAATCAAGTTTCTAAACCGACTTTTAAACTGCTGTATATACAACTTTATGCTTAGGCGTTTTTGTTTATTTATACTTCGCTTATAATTAAAGGAATCGTGTCTTTAATTATAATGTTTCGAATGTTTATTTTGTCCACAGACATTTCAGCATGGCTTTGCTGTTTAGTGTAATGAACATATCCATCACCATTACCCATTACATATCACATGGAACGTATGTCGATTTTCATCTGGCTCCCCGCGACTACAAACGCGAGAGTGTTTGCCCTTATAAAGTAAATACTTTGACTCTCTCTAAAAAAAAAATTAAAAATTAAAAAAAAAAAATACACCTAAGTCAGGGGTCGGCAACCTGCGGCTCGCGAGCCGCATGCGGCTCTTTTGATGTCAAGGTGCGGCCTCTTCAGCTCCATGCATAAATATTAATTATTTTATTTTATTTTTGAAACTCATGAAAATATTAGTCTGCAACACTCGGTAATGAACCATGTAATAATAAATATAAACAATAAACATTTCTATTAGAATATTTAGTTACTCCGTTTTTCAATGTACTTCATTGTTCTCTAAAATTCGGTAATTTAAATGTAAACAGTGCCTGTGCTTGGGCCATATTTATCGGTGCAAGGGTTTACCTACACTACTGCACATGAAAGCCTTGAGTGTAAGTTAATCACTCACCGTAATATCATCGTTAATCCCTCACCGCCTAAGTGTCGGGGACGGAAAGTGGCGCTCTCTTGTTAAGCCGATTACAAAATCGTACAGTCCCTAGCTCGGTTTAATTATCGAATGTCGTGTGCCATTATATATATAAATTAATACATAAATTTATAAGAATATATATATATTATATATATATATATATAATATATATATATATATATTATATATATATATATTATATATATATATATATATTATATATATATATCCATGTATATATATATGTATATATATATATATATATATATATATATGTATATATATCAATATATATATATATATATATATATATATATATATATATATATACATGGATATATATATATATATATATATATATATATATATATATATATATATATATATATATATATATTTATATATGTATATATATATATATATATATATATATATATATATATATATATATATATATACATGGATATATATATATATATATATATATATATATATTCTATATTTATATTTTCTCTATATATATATTCTAAAATTTTGAATGCATAAGACGCGTAAATGCAGATATTTGTATTGCTTATTCAGGTTTACAAAAACGGTCTGCATTTAAATTTAAAAGAGAAACACCTTTAATTTGCTGTGGACTACGTTAACACATATGATAACAATTTTGTTTTATGCTGTTCTCTATAACTTTTGTTAGAATTACAACATCCTTTTTTGGTCGAGGTTTCATTCAGCAAAACGAACAATTATGTCTTTTACACCAGAAGCTGGTAAGTAGGTCAACCAACTAGTTCTATGGCTCATGCAGGTTTTATTGAGCCGTAGAACTATTTAGTGACCTACTTATCATTATCAACACATATCTTCACGTAAAGATATGTTTTGATGCGTATAATGTATGTAAAATTAATTTGTGTTTGTCTATCTTTCATTATACATTATCATTATCAACACATATCTTCATTTAAAGATATGTTTGGATGCGGATAATGTATGTAAAATTCTTTTGTATTTGTAAATGAATAACTTGTATTCTTTTTCCAGGAATACTCCGTATCTGCACCAAACATATTACACAAGCAATTCAATGACAACACAAAGTATATTTTATTCATTTATCATAAATAGATTATATTTTGGGCTAAAATTTAGCGAGGTTTATCTTGTCCATTTTAAGATTTTCTTTCAGTGATTATTGTATGGTTTCGTATTTTAGTCGAACGTTCTTTCAGTGATTATTGTAATGTTTCGTATTTTAGTCGAAAGTTTTTTCAGTGATTATTGTAATGTTTCGTATTTTAGTCGAACGCTCTTTCAGTGATTATTGTATGGTTTCGTATTTTAGTCGAACGTTCTTTCAGTGATAATTGTAATGTTTCGTATTTTAGTGGAAAGTTCTTTCAGTGATTATTGTAATGTTTCGTATTTTAGTCGAACGTTCTTTCAGTGATTATTGTAATGTTTCGTATTTTAGTCGAACGTTCTTTCAGTGATTATTGTAATGTTTCGTATTTTAGTCGAACGTTCTTTCAGTGATTATTGTAATGTTTCGTATTTTAGTCGAAAGTTTCTCAGCCCCAACGGAGATAGGAATGCTGCTCCTTGCCGGAAGAAACAAGGAGGAATACTATTCCGCAGGTGATTGTTTTTCTCGATAATGTTGTGTCTTTTTAACTTTCTGGTATACGCAGTATAGAGGATGTATTGTAATCGTGCGAAAAATCGAAATCGAGATTTTCACAAATCTCCACGTTTTACACCTCCCTGAGTCTGAAAAATTGTGTCCGTATGTCTGTGTGTGTATGGCTGTGAACACGATAACTTGAATATTAGTATTATATCAGATTTGTAATTCTGTTTCAACTTTTTAGCGATTTCCGGTAACCGGAAGTGGAACTTTTTCTACTTTCAATTTTTTTTAAAGCCTATAACTTGAGTACTATTTTAGATAGATAAATGAAATCTCACATATAAGTAAAAGATCTAATTTTCTGCCTTCTAACAAATTTTGAGTAATTTACGTTGCCTGGAAGCAGAAGTAGTAATTTTCGCTATTTCCGATTTCTCTAAAAACGCATATGAATTTATAAAGTACTAATGATATTCCACACTATTATACACATTTTGTTTAGCGTTCACACGGTGCGCAATTCTTTTTTCTACGCGATTCTATCTATATATATAATTCTCTTCTGGGATCCGTTAGAAAACAAGCTGCAAGCGCCTCCTTGCAGTCCCCTCTTTTTCTCTCTGTCACTATCACTACCACCCCCACCCCACCCCCTACATTGTCTGGTGAGCTGTGGTCACGTTAATGTTTACAAATCGTAGACGGGTTTAGTGTTTTAGTGACGGCTATCAGGGGCAGATAATTTAGTTTGAAACGATTTTAAACTTACAGGAGGTTACTAAGAGGAGGCTGCTTTCACGGGGGGGGGGGGGGGGGTGTAGGGTAGGGGTTGGGGGAAAGGGAGGGGGGGGGTTAGTGTTTTAAAGCAAATATTTTCAATGGCAGCATTGGTACTGTCGAATTCACAAATTATGAATTACTGAAAAGTAGAAAATAAAACAACTAAATAGCGGCGTATAATACGCCGCGGGGCGGCTCGTTCTATTTAAAAAAGTTTAAGTAATTTTAAATGGATTAAAAATCATGACTATATCCCGAGTTGCCATTCCGCGTAGTGTTATATAAGAATATTCGAGAAAATGTAGGGGCGATCACTCCCGGTTTATTTGGATTTACTTCCATAGCCTTTGTCCAACCAAGAACAAACTACAAGGCAGCAGGTTTTTCTTCTTTAGCGTTCGTAATTTTTAGTGTTGGAATAGATCCCTGTTGAGATCCCCCCCCCCCCCAACACAATTAAGAATACTTGTCCACGTGTTATGTGCCATATTGACCGTTGACTCAAATTTCAGCCTGCTTTTCTTTTTGAATTGGCTTCCATAGCCTTTGTCGAGCCAAGAACAAACTTCAAGGCAGAAGTTGTTTAATTTTGGAATTCAAAAAGAGCTATTGTTCCCAGCTATTCGGGCTCTTCTGCCCGGGGTTCGAACTCGAGCAGCCTCTCTTTAGTCCGTAGTCGCTTTCTTTTAACCATCAACAAATCACCGCTGAACTTAAATCTTGTTCTCTTCCCCTTTTTTTTCTAATTTAGTAATAACTTAAGTAACTTGAAATTATTAATTTAATATCTAATTAGATTAAAAATAAGATACGATTGACTTATATAAGATTATATCCGTAAAAATTTTTATTTCGCGAGATCACTGTGTGTATGCCAAAATTTACTAGAAGATTTGACACAAACAAAAGTATGGTTAAAAAATAAATAAAAATGCATTAAAAGTTCTTTTTCTACCATTTCATCAGATTCAATTTATGTGTACCCCGATGCAACAAAGTATACATTTTATGGTCGTAGAATACGGAATAGCGAAGGGGAATATATGTTTGATTACTACGTGTTGATTACCTCTGGAAAAGACGTAATACCTCCTCTAACGGTTGTGTTCACCAACGGTACAAAAAAAGAAATCGACACTCCAGAAATGGGAGACATGTACAAGGTAATCGAAGATTGAAAACGATGAAACATTTCTTGTTACGTCCCTTGTGTTATATTTATCTTAGTGATGTCCCTTGAGTGTGCGGCCGTGTTGTTTAAATATGTCAGCGAGACCGGTATGAAGGAGTTTTGTGACTATACTTGGCTGTACTGTGTATAAATAATCAAGTGTAGAAGCTAACTTGAAAGTACCATTCCCCTTCTGTGATGTATAGTTCACTTGTTTCTGTGACCTCGGCATAGTGTGGTCAGCACTATACCCAGCCGCCTTTACTTTCCCCAACGTGAGTGGACTAATGGACGGTCTGCTGACTTGAACCCGGATTCGAACTCGGGACTTACGGGTTAGCAGTCCAGCTCTCTACCGCTAGACCACTCCGTCCCAGGGTAAGTGACTGGGGGTAATTGACAAGGGGGGAGGGACATGACCTAGACCCCACCGACGAATACCCATTCCAATATCCCCTGACGTAGAAATACATATCCCCCCGCACAAAAATCTAGTCCTGTACATTTTCAAGTACACCGACACCTCTACATGACGCCACAGCTAAAATAGCACCCTCAGCAAAGCAAAACCTACACCATCAATAACAACTATACCTCTACCTGAAGTTCACTGGACTTTTAAATTATTTTTCATTTCAATTACTGGTTTGTTGAACGATATCAGTTCCCCAACATAACGAAGGTGGAAGGACCCTTTGAGTTTCTCGTCTACGCATGCAATTTTGAGCAATTCGAGTTCTTTCAGCCGGAGTTTTACCATCAGTATAAGAGTGCTCATGTATTGCTGTAAGTTTTCTTTTATTACCAACCAATCAATAAATCCATCCATCCATCCATCCATCCATCCATCCATCCATCCATCCATCCATCCATCCATCCATCCATCCATCCATCCATCTATCCATCCATCCATCCATCCATCCATCCGTCCGTCCGTCCGTCCGTCCGTCCATCCGTCCATCCATCCATCCATCCATCCATCCATCCATCCATCCATCCAACAATCGATCGGACAGTCAGTCAACAATCAACCAATCATATATGTATGTATTTGTGCGTGTATGTGTATGTAGATATACGAATGTTTTTCGGCTAGGCTTTGTTCAAGTCATTATTTTAAAATAAATTTTAAATGTTACTATTGAAATTTGGCGTGTTGAAAAATTTTTAAATGCAATTTTTGACAAATCAGAAAACAACTCTAAAAGAATACTTGAGGACTGCGCTCAGTAATGACCCTAAGACACGCACAAAGATAACGCCAACCCTTTTGCAAAATTCGAAATGTATTCTCAAATCATAATTGTATCCTAAAAGCGAAACTAGCACACACCCATCAATCTACTCTTCCTAGATAATTTAAAAAATTAAAAATTCTCAATAACAAAATTAGTTTTCCGAATGAAATTTAAGCATATTATTTAAACTATTTACCGAATGAATTAAGCAAATGTAAGTTCGTATCCAATGTAACCCGTTACATTTTTTTTTTAACCCAAACATACAAAACATGTATTATGTTGCACATGTATAATCTCCGTAATGCATTGATCCAGTCCTACTGATCATCGCATACAAAGTATTTTATGTAAAAACTCCATGCAAATTCTTTGAAAATACTTCAGTCTTCCCCCCCCCCCATGATCCACACAATCTTTGAAAAGGTTTAAACCTAAATACCCAACGTCTTTTGTAGAAAAATAGTCCTACACGCGCATTGAAGTCGTCCTACAGTACTCAACACTATTTAATGCAGTGGTTCTTAACCAGGGTTCGATTGAACCCAAGGGGTTCGGCGGAATTTCTCAGTGCGGTCGAAATAACTATAGAAGGGTATATTGAATGAGAATATGAAACTGGTGAGGTTCGGATCCTCCACAAAGCTTATTAAGCAGAACCACTGACTTAATGCAATCTATATATATAATTCTCTTCTGGGAGACGCTAGAAAACAAGCTGTAAACGCGCTCCCTACCACCCCCACCCCTACATGGCCTGGTGAGCTGTGGTTCACGCTAAATGTTTACAAGCAGAGCCGGGTTTAGCGACGACTATTAGGGGAAGATAATTTAGTTTGAAACGATTTCAAACGTAGGGGAGGGGGTGAAGGGGGGGGGGGTAACTAAGTGGAGTTTACTTTAACGGAGGGGGGGGGGGAGGAGGGGGAGGGGGTTTATCGTCCTTAACGAGCTACTTACAAAGTTTTAAAGAAATATTTTCAGTGGCAGCGTTGGTACTGTCAAATTCACAAATTATGAATTACTGAAAAGTAGAAAAAACAACAACTAAATAGCGGCATATGATATGCCGCGGGTCGGCTCGGTTTTTATATTTCAAAACGTATTTATTTCATTCTAAAAAAATATGAATAGTTGTGACGTTTTTCCCACGTTTTCTTTTTAATTTTAAAGGAATCCATTGCATGAACAGATCTTAGAAGTCATGATAACTGTGACTGGTACGAAAGAGGCCTTGGATAATCTCAAAATGAACGGGAAACCATTGGCTTTGAGGTACGTTGTTTAGAGACTTTAGCTGCTGCTTTATGTATCAAGTTGTCATGGCAACAGCGTGAGATTGTGTATAGCCCGGATGTACTTTAGCCAGAGTTGCACCTGGCCTGTTGGTTTGGTCGGCTCGGTGAGACAAACCCCTAGCTGGCCGAGACGGTAGTGTAATGGTTACCATGCGGATGGTGCGGGTTCGAAACACATCATCTCAATCTATATATATGTTACCGAGTCTATTTACTTGTAGTGCCAAATGTTACCGATTTCACTGCTGACAGCGCCAAATGTTACCGAGTGTATTTACTCGTGCTACCTTTGACCAGCACACAACATCGACCACAATATAGATACTCGGAAGTGCAGGTTTACATTGATCTCTTTATTACATGAATCAATAGAAATGCTCCACATAACAATGCACCAATGTTCCACAAGAATACAATGAACCAACTGACCCCCACTGTCCTCACTAGTCCTAACATAACAGAATGCACGTGTCCATCGTTCCTATTCTCAAGAATCACACACGTCTACACCGTTCAGTAACCAACTGGGTTCTGCCTCTCTCTACCAGTCGCCTTCCCATCATCCCCTCGTATACGTAATAATTACCATTTGTTGCATCAGAACTATTAACTGCGCAGCGGCCTGGTGTTCGTTATCAGTCCTGCAACTGTTGCATCAGACTGTAATACGTTCTTACAATAGTATGGTAACTACCCTAGTTACATATATAATTCTCTTCATGGGGACCATACGAGACACCATGCAGCTTAGCCACCACCCTCATCCCCCACCTGTCAGGTGAGCTATGGTTCACCCCGAATGTTTACAATATTATAGCCGGTTCGAATAAGTGATGGCTATTAGGGGCAGATAATTTAGTTTTTAAACGATTTGAAACTAAGGGGAGACAAGTTCTGCGTGATACATTCAGTGTCGTCTGTAAACGGCTGCTTCACTGGGCGGGTTGGGATGGGGCGGGGGTGGGGAGTGTGGAGTGGGGGAGGCAGGGGTGGGGTAGTGTTGAATTCACAAATTATGAATTGCTGATAAGTAGAAAATAAAACAACTAGATAGCGGCGTGTGCTACGTCGCGGGTCAGCTCGTGTTAAAGTATTTGTGGGAGACGGCGTGGTGACGTTCGCTAGCCCGAAAGTCACGTGTTCGGATCTTGGGCACAAGGCCGTATGTCGTCCCTTGACCGAACTTCACCTCATGTCCAAACTAGGTGGATGCAATGCACTAGGGGGTCGTCCATAAATGACGTTTGTTATTCATATGATGTTCGAACTCGTTAGATTTAATAATATTTTCATTTGTTATTTTCATGCTGTTCGAACTCAGAAAATATTGTAACCCGCAGTTATCCAAAGGATAACGGGTGGTCTAGTAGCTATTAAAAACGTTTTTTTTCCAGTTATATTCGTGTCGTGTATCAAGAAGACGACATGTATTCGGGGGAGGCTAAAATCACTGCTCAACCTGTGCAAATCAGCTCAACAAAAAATATATCAATTTTCGTAAACGCTGTGAACAGGAGAAAAAATTATTTTGAATATTCTAGTCATGGACCATCAGCGACGCTTTTAGATGTAAGTTTAATTTTCAAAATGTTTGACAAAAATAGATATATGTTTAGGTGAAAGTATACGTGTGTTTTGTTCTTAGACGCGTTTTTTCTTCTTCTGACAACAAAGTTCACGATCGCGTTCACGTTCGCATTGACGTTCACGTTGACTTTAACATTCACGTTAATGTAAACGTTGACGATAGAGATCATGATCATGATCACGTTCACACGTACACGTAGACGTAGACGTAGACGTACACGTAGACGTACACGTACAAGTACACGTACACCTACCTACACCTACATCTACATCTACAAATACACTTACAATGTCTTACATCTACACCTACACCTACACCTACACCTACGCCTACACCTACACCTACACCTACACCAACATCTACACCTACACCTACACTGTCTTACACCTACACCAACACCTACACCTACACTTACACCTACATCGCACCAACACATACACGTAAATGTACTTTGAAATTCACGTTTACTTTTACATGTTTATTTTTCAGTTGCATCTGCATGTGCCTGATTGTACTTTCGTATTTCCATCAGTCTTTTCCAGTTGGCAAATTGCAATTTACAAATGTTAATACCCAATATATTGAAAAGCCGGTTCCAAATTGTTCAAAATTTTTGTTGCCAAAAATCATATTTTTCAACCAAAATTGAATCTATATATATAATTCTCTTCTGGGAGCCGTTAGAAAACAAGCTGCAAGCGCCCTTACAGTCCCTTCTCTTCCTCTCTACCGCTACCACCCCCACCCCCTCACATTCTCTGGTGAGCTGTGGTTCACGCTGTTTACATTTTACAATCATAGAGACGGGTTTGGTGACGGCTATTAGGGGCAGATAGTTTAGTTTGAAACGATTTTAAACTTAGAGGAGGTAACTAAGAGGAGGCTGCTTTCACGTGGGGGGGGGGGGGGGGAAGGGGGGGGGGGGTTTAGTGTTTTTAAGCAAATATTTTCAGTGACAGCATTGGTACTGTCGAATTAACAAATTATAAATTACTGAAAAGTAGAAGAAAAAAAAAACAACTAAATAGCGGCGTATAATACGCAGCGGGTCGGCTCGTATCTTATAATAGTTGTGTAATAAGTAGGCCTACAACATTACTTCCGGTTTCATTAAATCTAAAAAATAATTAAAGAAATAATTACTAGTAAAATTTATCAAAAACTTTTATATTTAATTTGGATTAGTAGAGTCAGGGTGTTGTGGTGATTGGGGATGTTGTATTATTTAATATAAATACAATATAAATACAATATAAATTCACAATAGATCACTATTGTGTATTTTTATTATGGAAAACAATTGTTCTGACTTTATTTTCTTACTCTCCCTGGCCAGTCCGGTTGACTTCAAGGCGAGGTTGGGGCAGTTTTTTAAAAATATTCGAATTGATAAAATAAATCTACACGGTTTTTCAACGGCTTATATTCGATTCAAAATTATAAAAATTAGTGTACTTGATGTTTCCAAAACGGCTTTAATTTTTGCAAAATGTAACTATAATTTTATCGATTGCCATATTTTTAAAAAAAAGATCTTAGAAAAAAAATTAAGTATGATTACATAGACTTTTCATGCCTGTTGAAATTGTGTTTGCATGTGCATTTTATATCATATCGCTTTTCATATAGGCCACACATTTCAACATAAGTGAGAAAGAACCCGAACCCCAACGCAAATCTGAAACCGAACCCGTAGCTGTAGCTGCTCCTGGCTATAATGAATTTAATATAGGTGAGTGCTGTGCTCTGTACCTGACAGCCATCACGCCCCCACGCTATGTTATTTTAGGGCACAGAATATGTTTTTAAAAATATTGTTCACAACAAATAGTTTAAAGGCTTGAAATATACATCATCCCAAACGAATTAGTTAAACTCGACTTATATACATGTGCATATAAATTTAATTATACATACACATACGTTTACCCTTAAACACAGATTAAACAAACTCGTATACGTGCATACCAATACCTGTATCTCTACATTTAACTATACATATATATATATATATATATATATATATATATATATATATATATATATATATATATATATATATATATACATATAAATATATATATATACATATATATATATATATATATATATATATATATATATATATATATATATATATATATATATGTGTGTGTGTGTGTGTGTGTGTGTTACGGTCAAAGCCCCAAGTGAGGCCAAAGCACATATTGGCCGACCAATGTGCATTGGCCGACTCTCTTGGCTATAGCCCGAAGAGCTTAGCACTTAGAGCGTATTTCATACATTGGCCGGCCAATGCACGCGTTGGCCGTGATGTCCTGGCCAATGTCCTATCTAGACTGTTTCCTTATTTTTGGTATTCATCGCGACATGGACCAAATGGGCCGTCAGACCAAGAGTCAGACATATCAGATGGATGTCAAAATATTTCTGAACTAAAGAACATGTGGCCTGAACTTAAACTAGTTCACGGAAAACCAAGGCATAGCCAAAGCCAAGGTTCAGTAGAACGTGCCAACCAAGATGTTCAAAATATGATGATGACATGGGTGCAGACAAATGAATCAGCTCAATGGGCTGAGTCTCAAACTTATTCAATGTATGAAAAACCTTTCTTTTAATCAAGGAATCCAACAATCGCCATACGAAACCTTGTTTGAATGCAAAGCAAAAGTAGGGCTTGGCACTTCAAATCTACCAAGAAATGCTCTCTATAATTTAGTTACTAAAGAAGGTCTTGAGAACATTGAACAAGAAATGGAGCTTGCCATAAATGCAACGACATCCTCAGCTAACACATATGCTGCCGTGGCGGAACGTCCAGACCAGTTGCGTGGCAATAATATGGCCAACATATTAAGTGTACTTTGTGAAAAATATTGTAGTGCAGCCCATTCTTGTGGATCCTGTGGCAACGATACCCATGCAATTTGCGGAATAGCCAATGAAGCAGACGAAGGTTACGGAGGGAACAGCACTCGCAGAATATGTCATAATAAACAAGAAACCATGGACAACAGGTCAGCAGCTCATACTGGCTTGCAAACTCAAGGTGCTAAGATGCTAACAAAATTAAATACAAATTTTAAACAAGCTGAAGTGGGAGATAATGTTCGCATCCATAAACCACATGTTGACAGAGGCCGCGGTGATCCCCCGATGTGTCATTGCAGTTGTCATTAGAGTCGAGGGCGCTTTCTACAAGTTAGGATCGGAACGTGGTGTTCTAAACCAACTGTATGCTCGTCCATTGGCACTGCGAAAAAATCGCTACGTAGTATCGCATCTTAACAATCACTGACCGGCGGCCAAGGCTACACTCGCTGCAACCAAGTGCACAACAAATCGCTGCAAGTGTAAAAATAACAAGCTTTCATGTAATTTTAAATGCCATAAAAGTTCAACTTGTTCTAACAAATGATAATATTGATTGAGACTATAATACAATAACATAATTTGAATGTTTCTTTTACTTTAAATAATAATCAATGAAGACTTAATTTCATGATCCTTACGGTATAAAAAAAAAAACACATAAGTCTGCTCACGTACTTCTAACTCGGACATATACACCTACACCTACACCTACACCTACACCTACACCTACACCTACACCTACACCTACACCTACACCTACACCTACACCTACACCTACACCTACACCTACACCTACACCTACACCTACACCTACACCTACACCTACACCTACAATTACACGTACACGTACACGTACACGTACACGTACACGTACACCTAAACCTAAACCTACACCTACACCTACCCCTACACCCAAAACCACACCTACACTCACACAACCATCTACACCCACACCCACTCACATCCACATCCACACACACACACCCACACCCACACCTACAGCTACACCCACACCCACACACACCCATACCCACACCTACACCAACACCCACACCTACACCTACACCCACACTCACACAACCATCTACACCCCACATCCACTCACATCCACACACACACACCCACACCCACAACTACAGCTACACCCACACCCACACCCACACCCACACCTACACCTACACCCACACACCCATACCCACACCTACACCTACACCCACACTCACACCCACACCCACACCTATACCCATTATAGCTTTCAATTCTATGCAGTTTGCAGACCGGACCTCTACGGAGTAGGTTGTGCCAAGCACTGCCTTTGTGATAAAAAATGTCGAATAGACGGTACCTGCGCCACCACGCCTTGCAGAATGGGAACTTTTGGGGACGGCTGTAAACATGGTAATATGCTGAGCAAGCTTAATTGGTCATGTACCCCATACGATTAGGTGACATTGTACAGTGTTGTACCCCTTACAATTTGGTGACTTGGTACAGCGATGTACGCCATATAATTAGGTGACCTTGTACAGTGTTGTACCCCATACAATTTGGTGACTTGGTAGAGTGTTATACCCAATACAATTTGATGACCTGGTACAGTGATGTACCAACACGATAACGTGACCTGGTACAGTGATATATGTGACCTGGTACAGTGTTGTGCCAATACAATTTGTTGACATGGTACAGTGATTATGTGACCTGGTACAGTGTTGTACCCCAAACGATGAGGTGACCTGGTACAGTGATTAGGTGATCTGGTACATTGATGTACCAAATACGATAGCGTGACCTGGTACAGTGATTAGGTGATCTGGTACAGTGATGTATCAAACACGATAACGTGACCTGGTAAAGTGTTTAGGTGACCGGGTACAGTGATTAGGTGATCTGGTACAATGTGATGTACCAAATACGATAACGTGACCTGGTACAATGATTAGGTGACCTGGTACTGTATTGTACCCCAAACGATAAGGTCACCTGGTACAATGCCTCATGTAATCCTGATAAGATCGTGAAGTACCCGAATGCGCAATGCAGACACACAAACACACGGGCAACAAGAAAGTGAATCTCGATGACGACACCGTCGGTTATGAGCTTAGTCTTTGGGCCGCGTCAGTTGTAGGATGGGAATTAAACGCAGAGATTATGAGTTATAAAGGCGCTTTAATCGGCGCAACGCAAAATTACTTTTGAAAGATTTTAAAACCAGTTTTAAAATGAGAGAACTTTAAAAGACTTTAAACCAATTTTAAAATAAGACAATTTTAAAAGACTTTAAACCAATTTTAAAATAAGACAATATATAAAGAAAAAAATACATTTTCAGAATACTGTTTGCGAACACTGGCAAAACTCGTATAATTATAGCTAATTACAACCATGGTACAGATAAAATTAATGTCTTAATTAAATTTTTACTGCAGCATGGTATTTTTGATATGTTTCTACTTGCATTAGAACATAGATAGTCTAGTTACTCGATGGGTAGGCGTCGGGTTCTTTGATTAGCTCTGTGTGACTAGACACGCTTTTTGCAGCTTAGTTTGGTTTTTTTTGTAATTACTTAAACTACTAGGTCTTTGCTTTAATTAGTCTAAATGTCTTGGTTTTATATTACTTAGTTTTAAAAAAAAAGATTTTTTTTCCATTATTTTATTCAAACAACTGGTCTTTTTATAACCTAGCGTGTTGTTTTGGATAGTCTTAAGATACTTTCTTGCAAGTTCTAGATATTTAAAAAAGCCTTTTTTTGTACTTCAATTTAAAATAAATTACAGCAATTAGAATTTTAAACAAAACGAAGACTGAAAAAGGTAAAAGCACTGTTCATTTTGTAGAGGAATAACCTAGTATAAACGCGTGTTCTGTTCTTCTGTTCCATAATCTACAAATACTTTCTTGCAAGTGCCAGATATTTAAAAAACATTTTTGTGCTTAGGTTTAAAAGAAATTTTAGCCCATTTTTGTACGAAACTAAGCCTGAAAGATGGTAAAAGCTTTGTTAAACTTTCTAGATGAATAACTTTGTCTAACCAGGTGTTCTGTTTGATATTCTACAAATACTTTTTTTTCAAGCACTAGATATTTAAACAAAAAAACATTTAAAAGAAATTTCAGCACATTTGTGTACGAAACTAAGCCTGAAAGATGGTAAAAGCTTTGTTAAACTTTCTAGAGGAATAACTTTGTCTAACCAGGTGTTCTGTTTGATATTCTAGTATAATTCTACAAATACTTTTTTTCAAGCACTAGATATTAAAAAAACATGTAAAAGAAATTACAGCACATTTTTGTACGAAACTAAGCCTGAAAGGTGGTAAAAGCTTTGTTAAACTGTGTAGAGGACCTAGCCATCCACGCCACGGACGTTTCGCCTCGTGAGTTGTTTGATGGGGACATTAACACTGGCACCGTACTGGCCAATGTCAAGGCTTCTGTGACGTTGAATAAACCTACACCTGTAAACTCTTTTACCTTCGTGTTTGACAAAGGAGGTGAGTGTGTAGTTGGTAGTATCAGTAGCGTAGCGGTGGGGGGGGGGGGGGCATATGCCCCCGGGCGCCGACCTTAGGGGGCGCCAAAATGGATTGAAAAAATAAATTGATAGGTTGAAGGGGGTGCAAATCGAAATCTTGAGGTGGGGGGGGGGTGCAAATCGAAAGTTTGTGGGAGGGCGCAAATCGAAATCTTGAGGGGGGGGGGGGGGGTTGCAAATCGAAAAGTTTGTCCCCGGGCGCCGGTAAGGGTCGCTACGCCTCTGGGTAGTATCGATGCTTTATTATAACATGTGGTTTATCAAAAGTTCCCTTTTAAAATTTGACGGTCTATAGGGCAGGTGAAGTAGAGTTCACTTGTTTCTGTGAACTCGGCATATGAAGAGATAGTGTGGTCAGCACTATGCCCAGCCGCCTTTACTTTCCCTAATGTGAGTTAGCTTACCCATCAGAGTTGGGTGGACTCAGGGACGGTCTACTGACTTGAAACCGGATTCGAACTCGAGAGTTACGGGTTAGCAGTCCAGCTCTCTACCGCTAGACCACACTGTCCCATGATTTATCAAAAAGTCGTTGATATAGTTTAATGCGCCGTGATATAGGCCTATACGGCGTGGCGGTAGAGCTCTAGGCTACCAACCAGAAAGTCTCGAGTTCGAACCCAGGTCCATAAATCAGTAGAACTTCACTGAGTCCACCCAGCTCTGATGGGTACCCAAAATTATGTTACCAAAAAATAAAGGCGGCTCGGCAAAGTGCTGACCACACCTTCCCTTCATATGCCGAGGTCAAGATAGATATAAATTCTACTACATTTGCTAAATGAATCGCAAGGTCTGAAGATTATTCTTTACTTTTGTAAACAATATACTTTATTGTTTATCTTAATTAATGTAAAAGCATAATAATAACCGATATTTTATTATCTTTTAAAGCACATATATATATATATATATATATATATATATATATATATATATATATATATATATATATATATATATATATATATATATATATATATATATATATATATATATATATATATATATATATGTATTATATATGTATATACGTATTATATAATTATTATATAAGTATATATATATATAGTATAGTATATATATTGGGACGGAGTGGTCTAGCGGTAGAGAGCTGGGCTGCTAACCCGTAAGTCTCGAGTTCGAATCCGGGTTCAAGTCAGTAGACCGTCCCAACTCAGATGGGTACCTAACTCACGTTAGGGAAAATAAAGGCGGCTGGGCATAGTGCTGACCACACTATCTCTTCATATGCCGAGGTCATAAACAAGTGAATTGTACTTCACTTGCCCCATAGACCGTTAGGTTTGAAAGGGAAACTTTACTTACTTTTTACTTATAGTATATATATATATATATATATATATATATATATATATATATATATATATATATATATATATATATATATATATATATATATATATATATATATATTCTACATAGTATATATATATATATATATATATATATATATATATATATATATATATATATATGTATATACATATTATATATTTATTATATAAGTATATATTCTATATATATGTGTGTTTATCTATAATTTTTCTAGCTGATCTAAGTCAAATCACTGAAGATAAAATGGACATATATATACGAGTCGAGAAAACCCAAAGAATGGTACCGCTGACAGAAGACTACTCTTTGGTCATCAGTAAGGATAATCATGTGACCGTCCATTGGGTGAAGCCGAGGGTGGTGCAGAAGATGGAAGTAGCCGTCGCCACAAAACTCAAGGCGACGTCGTTTCATTTGGACGGGGGTAAGGTGGTCTGTATGACGTACGTTTGACGTAACGGGGGTAAGGCGGTCCGTATGACGTACGTTTGACGTAACGGGGGTAAGGCAGTCTGTATGACGTACGTACAACATAACGGAGGTGAGACAGTATGTATGACGTACGTATGACATAACGGAGGTAAGACAGTCTGTATGACGTGCGTACAACATGAAGACGTTGGACGGTTGTAGGGCAGTATGTATGACGTGCGTATGACATAACGGAGGTTAGACAGACTCCATGACGTACGTACAACATAATCAAGTATACACTCATGCACCAAATGGTAATTGAAATCCAAGTCGTAATCACTAACGAAATGTAAACGCAAACGTTAATGTACATGTCAATGCGAATATAAATGTACATACACATATAAATTTAAAAAAAAAGAGTCATGGACATCCCACAATAGATGTGGATCTTTTTTTTTCCTTATATTGGTTGAAAGCTGCACCTTGGGTTACCACGTAATATTTTCTCAAATAAATCATTTTATGATTTTCTCAAATAAATCATTTTATGATTTTCTCAAATAAATCACCTCATGAATTTCTCAAATAAATCATTTTATGATTTTGTCAAAAAAATCATTTTATGATTTTCTCAAATAAATCACCTCATGAATTTCTCAAATAAATCATCTTATGATTTTTGTCAAATACATCATCTTATGATTTTCTCAAATAAATCATTTTATGAATTTCTCAAATAAATCATCTTATGATTTTTGTCAAATACATCATCTTTTGATTTTCTCAAATAAATAATTTTATGAATTTCAAAATAAATCATCTTATGCTTTTTGTCAAATAAATCATCTTATGATTTTCTCAAATAAATCATCTTACGACTTTCTCAAATAAATCATTTTATGATTTTTCTACAAAAATTCATTACATAATTTTCTTAAATAAATCATCGTATTTTCTCAAATAAATCATTTTATGATTTTCTCAAATAAATCACCTCACGAATTTCTCAAATAAATCATCTTATGATTTTGTCAAAAAAATCATGTTATGATTTTCTCAAATAAATCATTTTATGATTTTCTCAAATGAATCATTTTATGATTTTCTCAAATAAATCATTTTATGATTTTCTCAAAAAAATCATTACAGAATTTTCTCAAATAAATCATCGTATTTTCTCAAATAAATCATTTTATGATTTTCTCAAATAAATCATTTTATGATTTTCTCAAATAAATCACCTCATGAATTTCTCAAATAAATCATCTTATGATTTTTGTCAAATAAATCATCTTATGATTTTCTCAAATGAATCATTTTATGATTTCTCAAATAAATCATTTTATGATTTTCTCCAATAAATCATCTTATTTCTCAAATAAAGTCATTTTATGATTTTCTCAAATAAATCATTTTATGATTTTCTCCAATAAATCATCTTATTTCTCAAATGAATCATTTTATGATTTTCTCCAATAAATTATTTCATGATTCTCTCCTAGGGCAACAAGCAGACTCGGCTGTAGCCGACAATAGGACCACACATAAAGGGGTCCCCCGTTCCCCGTTCTTTACACTCCTAGTTGGTGGATCGAACCCCATGCCAGAAATTGCCAAAAACCTCACGGACGGCGATCGATTTTCTACCTGTGTCAACACGGAAGAAGCAAGAGACCTGACTTTGACTTTCTCAGCGCTCACTCTCCTTGAGCGTATCATGATTTATACACCAGGTAGCTTAGTTTACCTGGGTGGTTCGTAGGGTTTAACTTAGGGTAAGGAGTGGGGGGGGGGGGGGGGGGCATCAGTGATTGTATCAAGTTCTGATCGCGAAGTGATGTAAAGAATTTTTTTTTTTGATGTAGAAATGGTGCAGTGGTAGGGCGCGCAGATGATTACCTGAAAGTCTCGAGTTCGAATCTAGAATTGGAATTCTATTAGACATACCTGACGATTCCCAGATCTGATAGGTAGCAGAGTCAGGTTCGGTCAGGTAAAAGCTGCAAGGTCATGTCGTGGTCGCTGAAACAGGTGAATCCTACTTCGTTTGAACGATAGGATTAGGGCACCAACGGGAGTAGATGATGATGATGATGATGATGATTATAATTATGATGATGATGATTATAATTATGATTATGATGATGATGATGATTATAATTATGATGATGATAGTGATGATTATGATTATGCTGATAATTATGATAATTATAATAATTATAATAATTATGATAATTATAATTATCGTAATTATTATAATTATCATATGATTACGATTAAGATTATGATTATGATAACAAGCAACTACAGACGAGGAAGAAAAGATACAGATTGTTTTCTTGAAATATTATTCTCTCGACATTTAGCATTCAATGTAAAAGAGCCGACATAACTCACTGCTTATGTAAATTAAACTGCTTGAACTATTATTCTCTCAGGAAGCTCAGAGTGGAAAGCTGAAGTGATGTGCTACGATGTCTGCGAAACGTTAGTTATGACGACTGCGCTTTCCAGCGGTGTGAGTAGAGTTTACCAGGTCAATGTGAATACGAACGTGAAGAAAGTCCACATAAAAATACTGTCGGGAACACTCAATATGTGCGAACTGCAAGCATATGCAGGTGATATGTTTTACAACTGGTGTTATAAAAATCGTTCTTAACTTAGCAATAGCTAGTTGGAAGAATATTCCAAAATAAACCGGGAGTGATCTCCCCTAAACTTTCTCGGATATGCTTATATAAAACAACAGGGGATGGGAACTCCATTTTAAATACTTAAGGTTTTTAAAATAAAATAAAATCTCGTAGAAAAAAGAATTGCACACCAGGTGAGCGCCAAATGAAATGTGCATAATAGTGCGCAATATTATTAGTACTTTATATATTTACATGCGTTTTTTTGAGAAATCAAAAATGGCGTAAATTAGTACTTCCTATTAACGGAAATTACACAAACTTTGACAGAAGGTAGAGAATTAGATCTTTTACTTATATATAAAATTTCATTCATTTATCTGAATTAGTACTCAAGTTATAGACTTTTGAAAAATGTAGAAAAAGTGACACTTCCGGTTATTGGAAATCTCTCAAAAGTTGATATGGATCTACGATTTTGATAAAATACTTATATATGAAATTTGATCAACCTAGCTGTAACGGTACTCAAGTTATCGTGTTTACACACACACACACACAGACACACAGACAGACACACATACATACGGACAAGATTGCAAAATTATGTTTTTCCGTATCAGTGAGGTGTAAAACGTCGAGATTTGTAAAAATCTCAATTTTTTTTTTGCACGATTACAAGACTTTCTCTATACTTCGTATATACGAGAAAGTAAAAAAAAAAAAATTTACTAATACAAAAAAAAAATAGTTTGAATTTTGAAAAGTATCAGTCTGAGAAATAAATTGTTAGTAGCCTTATAGGTTCTGTATTTTAAATCGTTACGTTGTTAAAAGAAATCTTAAATGTTTTAAAAACTGGCGGCACACGCAAGGCTTTGCTCCAGCCGCAAGTTTTAATGTGAGCAGAAACACGTACGCGTTCACATGTCTATACATGTAAAAAGAAATATGTATGTAAAGAAACATACCCAGACCCAGACTTGTACTATTACCAATACCTATGCCAAAACTAATATCCATACCCTTACACCTATCCATCAATCTATCCACCCCCATACACATACCTGTACCCACACGCAGACCCACACCCACTTCCAAATCCACACCCACACACAGAAAGAACGACAGACAGACAGGCAGGCAGACAGACAGACAGACAGACAGGCAGGCAGACATACAGACAGACACAGGCAGACAGACAGACACACAGACACACAGGCAGACATACAGACAGACAGGCAGGCAGACATACACACACACAGGCAGGTAGGCAGACATACAGACAGACACACAGGCAGGCAGACATACCGACAGACACACAGGCAGGCAGACATACCGACAGACACACAGGCAGGCAGACATACCGACAGACACACTGGCAGACAGGCAGGCAGACATACAGACAGACACACAGGCAGACAGACAAGCAGGCACACCGACCGACCAATAGACAGACAGGCAGACATTTTCCGACTGATCGACGGATAAATAAAAAGATGACTAAATAGATGAAACTAATGCTAAACAGATCCCGAGGGTCCGTTAGAAGATCAAATCATGGCGTCTCAAGCACCAGACGCACAAAGCAGTGGAGCCTTCATGCTTCTGCTGACCACACTGCTGGTCGCAAGTTGTGTCGTCTGCAGTGGCATGTTTTTGCTGAGGAAGAGGAGCAACGAAACTCTGGACAACGCGGGTAAACATGATGTCTTGTTGTCGACTTTACTAAAGATGATGTCTTGTTGTCGACTTTACTAAAGATGATGTCTTGTTGTCGACTTCACTAAAGATGATGTCTTGTCGATTTTACTAAAGATGATGTCTTGTTGTCGACTTCACTAAAGATGATGTCTTGTTGTCGATTTTACTAAAGATGATGTCTTTTGGTCAACTTTACTAAACATGATGTCTTTTGGTCGATTTTTACTAAACATGATGTCTTGTTGTCGACTTTACTAAAGATGATGTCTTTTGGTCGATTTTTACTAAAGATGTTGTCTTGTTGTCGACTTTACTAAAGATGATGTCTTTTGATCGATTTTTACTAAAGATGATGTCTTGTTGTCGACTTTACTAATGATGATGTATTTTTGTCGACTTTACTAAACATGATGTCTTTTTGTCGACTTTACTAAACATGATGTCTTTTTGTCGACTTTACTAAAGATGACGACTTTTGGTCGACTTTACTAAAGATGATGTCTTGTTGTCGATTTTACTAAAGATGATGTCTTGTTGTCGATTTTACTAAAGATGATGTCTTGTTGTCGACTTTACTCAAGATGATGTCTTTTGGTCGACTTTACTAAAGATGATGTCTTTGGTCGACTTTACTAAACATGATGTCTTTTTGTCGACTTTACTAAAGATGATGTCTTTTGGTCGACTTTACTAAAGATGATGTCTTTGGTCGACTTTACTAAACATGATGTCTTTTTGTCGACTTTACTAAAGATGACGACTTTTGGTCGACTTTACTAAAGATGATGTCTTGTTGTCGACTTTACTAAAGATGATGTCTTTTGGTCGACTTTACTAAACATGATGTCTTTTTGTCGACTTTACTAAACATGATGTCTTTTTGTTGACTTTACTAAAGATGACGACTTTTGATCGACTTTACTAAAGATGATGTCTTGTTGTCGATTTTACTAAAGATGATGTCTTGTTGTCGACTTTACTAAAGATGATGTCTTTTGGTCGACTTTACTAAACATGATGTCTTTTTGTTGACTTTACTAAAGATGACGACTTTTGGTCGACTTTACTAAAGATGATGTCTTGTTGTCGACGTTACTAAAGATGATGTCTTTGGTCGACTTTACTAAAGATGACGACTTTTGGTCGCCTTTAATAAAGATGATGTCTTGTTGTCGACTTTACTAAAGATGATGTCTTTTGGTCGATTTTACTAAACACGATGATGTCTTGTTGTCGACTTTACTAAAGATGATGTCTTTTTGTCGACTTTACTCAAGAGGGGGTTGTAGGCTGCGGTGTGACGTCATTTTAGAGTTGGGTATGGTTTTTTGTGACGATATGTGACGGAGGGGAGGGGGGAGGTAAAACAATCGTCAAAAAAGCGTGACGTCATTTATGGATGACCCCTAAACTGCTTTAAAGAATGTTGGTGAGTTTAAAGCAGCACGGTAAAGATGGTGTCTTATTGTCGACTTTACTATAAGGTTTATGTGGTCACATAATGAATGATCATGGGTGTAGCGAGGGGAGGGGGCGGGGTGCTGAACGCACCGGGTGACACCATTTAGATGATGACACAAGTCAAAAAATAGCAAAATATATAGAGAAAAATGTTAATTCCACTTACTTAAGTGATTAATTCGAGTGTTAAATAGTCTTTTAAGAGGTGCGATCGAAAGTTTGAGTGCCGCACCTGTTGACACCCGACCTCGCTACGCCACCTGGGAATGATGGTGAATTAAAAGCTGATTCGGCGATCTGGTTTCTAAGCCAGTGATGTTTAAGTTTTGCCAAATATGTTACTGAATGTCTGATAGTGTTAACAACTGTTAACGTGAAATTTTGGTGACCAGCACCATTGGAGCTATAAGATGTAAAGGGTTTTATTTTAAAATTTAGTTCGCCACCATGCTGACATGTGCTTTTTAAAAAAATACGAGAAACGATATAAAATGTTTTTTTGTGTGTGTCTATAACACGTAAAATGGTTGAACTTAACAGTGAGGTTATCATCTATATATATAATTCTCTTCTGGGAGTCGTTAGAAAACAAGCTGCAAGCACGCCTTTGCAGTCCCCTCTCTTCCTCTCTATCACTATCACTACCACCCCAACCCCACCCCCACATGATCTGGTGAGCTGTGGTTCACTCTAAATGTTTACAAATCCGGGTTTAGTGACGACTATTAGGGGCAGATAATTTAGTTTAAAACGATTTTAAACGTACAGGAGGTAACTAAGAGGAGGCTGCTTTCACGGGGGGGGGGGGGGGGAGGGCTGTATGGTAGGGGTTGGTGGAAAGGGGGGGGTAGTGTTTTAAAGCAAATATTTTCAGTGGCAGCATTGGTACTGTCGAATTCACAAATTATGAATTACTGAAAAGTAGAAAATAAAACAACTAAATAGCGGCGTATGATACGCCGCGGGTCAGCTCGTGTGTTTTTAAAATATCTAAGAGACTATGAATTTTTAAAATAAATGTCACGAAAACATGAAGCAGATAGATTAAGGAAATGATAGGGTGTTGGCCAAAATGAAGATTTTAAGGGCGTGGTAAATATATAACCCTATTCATGTCCTTCCACTAAACTTACATGACAGTATGTGATGAATATTTTTAGATTGATACAGATTGTAATGGGACGGAGTGGTCTAGCGGTAGAGAGCTGGACTGCTAACCAGTAAGTCTCGAATTTGAATCCGGGTTCTAGTCTATAGACCGTCCCTGAGTCCACCCAACTCCGATGGGTAACTAACTCACGTTAGGGAAAGTAAAGGCGGCTGGGCATAGTTCTGCCCACACTACCTCTTCATATGCCGAGGTCACAGAAACATGTGAACTCTACTTCACTTGCCCCATAGACCGTCACGTTTGAAAGGGAACTTTACTTTTCTTACAGATTGTAATCAAACAGGGTTAGGCATAACAACAGTCACTATTACTTAGAATTACGAACACACTTTTTTTGTAATGAAACAAATTTTACTTCAACAAAAAAAGAAGTAAATTACTTTTCCTTTTCACACTAGAGTTCTAATGACTTTACTAAAACAAATGTTACAAATTGAAACCAGCTTTTTTTTCTACTGACAATTAAGGGGCGCCAAAGAACGAAAACTCTTTTTTACCCCTATCACACCTAAAGTCTGGCATCAAACTATATCACATGCAGTTTTATGCAACCTAGTATGCCTTATATAAGCAAAGAAACATAAATAGATAAAGTCTTAGAAATAGTTTGTTATAAAATAAAAATAGCGACAACCATTTTTTTAGGTGTAACCTAAAAAAAAATTGTCATTAATTTTGGTACATTTTTAAAACTTAAGAGTTTAATTTTAGTATGTTAAATGTCAGAATACTCTACATATTGCTAACAGTTTCTTTCAACTTTCATAAAATATTTTACTACATGCAATAAGTAAATTCAAATTTTATGTTTTTAAATAACAAAAACATTGAAATGTATTAGTTCACCTAACAAAAAATGAACTTAAAATGAAAATGAAAAATTGAAACCTTATCAAATAACTAGCGAGGAAAAGTTAAATTTTGCAGGTCGACCATGAAATGAGTTGACAAACGTTTCGAAAAAGTAAATTCATTTCCTAAATCAATTTTGTCCTTAATGGTTTTACATTGTTTTGCAATGGATTTGGGGAATAATTATATTACAAATGGTGTTGCAGAGCTTCTAGCGAATTAGCAGGCTGGAAGAATCTTTTTGGTCGCTATAGGGCTGGTAAGTAGGTCAATAAACAGTTATATGGCTCATGCAAGTTTTATTTAGCCGTAGAACTGGTTACTAGTCCTATAGAGTTCAGTTTCCTATGCATTCAAATTTTGTCGTAGTACAGCATCACGTGCGTAGTTTCAAAAATTAAAAATACATCCTGAAAATAAAAACGGTAAAAAAATACAACTACTCGAGCTGATGATTACACAGACATACATGTATTATAAATATAACAATATATATATATATATATATATATATATATATATATATATATATATATATATATATATATATATATATATATATATATATATGCATATATATATATATATATATATATATATATATATATATATATATGGGGGTTGTGCCGCACCTGTGAAACCCGACCTAATGACAGATGTTGTATAATTTGAACACTATACCCTTGTTAATTGTTGAAGTAAGAGTTAACTAAAAGCTCTTTATAAATATACACTTGCCGTTCATAATGTAGTAAAAATCTGTTATTTTTTTATTTCAACAGAAGAGTAGGAAATTTTTCTACCATTTTCCACGAGGGACAGGAAATAACATCACTTTGAAAAAGACCAGGATTACATTTCTCTAAATTGATTTAAATTTATTGTATTATATTCTTTTTTTATTTATAACCAAATGTTTTAATATCAATATGGTATTTGTTTTTTCTCTCTAAAAAAAGTTTTTTTAAAGTCTTTAGTTTTCTCAGGTGAAGAATTTATATTTAAAAATGTGTCCTGTGTTTATTGAGTTGGATTAATGTTACTATTATAATTGAAGATATTTTTTAAAAAAATATTTCATCCATTGTTTATAAGAATAACAATAAAAGTTTGATAATGTTATTTTTTTTACAGACTTTTATTGTGTGTCTGTGGTGCTTCTGTCTGCATTTCGTCATGTGTCTTCTTGTCTTTCAGACATGATGACAATGCAATAAGCTATAACTGTGACTTTTTTTCTTGAGTATAGAATATAGTCCAAAAATCGGAAGCAAGCAAAAAATAAAATAAAATGAAATTTTGACGACTTTGCCGTTATACTTGCTTAGTCCTCTTTGCTCCTTATGGAGCATAGGGCCTCCACCATTTCCTTCCATTTCTTCCTATCCTCGGCTATTAATTTTGACATCTCCCAAGACATCCCTATTGGCTTCAGTTCTTCAAGAAGACTCCGCCTCCAGGTCTGTCTTGGGCGCCCTCTCTTCCGCTTTCCCTGGGGGTTCCACTCAAGCGCTTGGCGTGTAACATTTGTGTGAGCCTTTCGCAGTGTGTGACCCACCCAGCGCCACTTCCTCCTTCTTATTTGCACACCTATAGGCTCCTGCCTAGCTTTCCTCCATAGTTCCAAGTTCGGCACTTTGTCCTGCCATCTCAGCTTCAGTATCTGTCTAAGGCATCTATTCATGAAGGTCTGTATCTTTGCCGTTATACACCACCATGCTATTTTTAGTGTTGGAAGGGATCGAGCCAGAGGGTTTGAACTCGAGACATTTTCGAATTTAACAACCTTGCGCCATTAAGGTCATTGACTCAGATTGCAGCCTAGTTTTTTTTTGGATTTGCTTCCATTGCCTTTGTCCCACCAAGAACAAACTACCAATTACTGCCCCCAGCTAACGAGCCTCATCTGCCCGAGGGTTCGAACTCGAGTCTTTTCGGTTTAGCAACCATGAGCTTTACCGACTCGACCACGCCGACCCCTAACACCAATTTTGTGTTTGTGTTGTCTTTAAAAAAAAAATCAGGAGTGATCTCCCTTAAACGTTCTGAATACTACAACAGCTGTAGTGGTACGTCCAGGGTATAGAAATATTCGTTTTATGTTTTTATTTTCAATATTTTATTTAGAAAAAATAAAATAAAATAGAATCGAGTAGGAAAAATTAATTGCTCACAAAATAGAAGTAAACAATGAATGCATACATTGGCAGGATACCGAGTTCTATTTAATTGAATGTTTAAAATATTTTGTTTTCTAAAAGTTAATTAATTATGTAACAATTTTAGTCACAGTGCTTTGTCAACGAGTCTTGACCTTCGTGAAAAGTTTCAAGAAATCGGTTCGGTAGTAGTAGTATCTTCTTCTTCTTCTTGTGCGTTCCTTATTTAGTTTATGATGGAGGATTTAAATAACAAATCTAATGGAAACAAAACAATCCAAGTGGCCATGGTAACAAAAAAACAAGTCACGAATGTTGTTGAACATGTAAAAAAAAAATAAACATAGGTTTGTATGAACTGTTATTGAAAATCAAATCTCATAAAAATGAAAATAAAATACTGTCGTGATTATCCATAAAATACATCGATCTCTCCTAATGTGGGGAGAGAGAGGGGGGGGAGCTAAAGTAAGATGCCATTTAAAAAGTAATGTAAAAAAAAAACTGAATTTAAGCCTATATTTCTCGTTTGTAATAGTTTTTTAGCGCAATTTCCATTCTGGAGAATTGCGTTTATTAACTCGTCATTTCTGGGAATGGATGGATGAATGTATGGATGTATGAATGGATGTCCGGGCTTTAAGTCGCATCTCCTCCTCAACAAAGCAATATCGATGACTAGTTCCAAAAGCAATTATGTTAAGAAAGTTACGAGAATGAACATATGCCATAAAAATTCCGGGTTTCTTTCATGGATTTCCAGGAAAAGCCAAAAAAACCTTGAAAAAATGCATTTTTTTGCCCATATCTCGGCAACCAGACCACTTAGCGACTTGAAAGATGTACCTATCGATTCCTGCCATAATTTAGAACAATATTGCCGAAGAAAGTTTTCAAAAATATCCTCTCGTTCGGTCACAAATTTTAAAATTACATAAACACCTACAAACCGATCGTTCTTCTAGCTTGAACGCACCCCAGCATTATACGTCAGAGCTATTTTTAGATAACATAAGGAAATTGCGCATAAATGTCACTAGACTTTTTTAATTAACTTGTTTTTTTATAAATTGAAATTAAATATATTTAATGTTGATCAAGCTCAGAAAAATATTTAAAAAATAAATAACTTTTTTTTTTTTTTAAATTTTTTTCATATTTGCCTTGGGGCTCGAGGTAAGCCTGAAGTGTGACATCATTTAAACTTGGGGATGGGGTGGGGGGGGGGTTAAGTGTTGTTTAATGATGGGGAGGGGGTGTGTTAAAAATCAATAACAGTGGATGACCAAATATTCATAGGCCAAAAATGTCTGATCCCGGTTTATTGCAGTATATGCTTATTATAATAATATTGAAAATGTTGACAGTGATTTAAACCTTAATCTCTATTACAATGGGGTATAGCCTAGTGCTTTATTTAAATTGAATAATGTAGCATTCCTAGTCACCACAAAAATCATTACTTTACTATTCCAAAACGAAATATTGCTAAATTACTGTTATATTGCTAATAATTAGTTGTTTGAGTATTACTAGCCTAAATAAAAACCGAAAGTCATTTTGTACCCATTTCACAATTATTTATTTTTAATAAAATATTTAAATTAGGCCGTAAAATATGCTTTACAGTTTTTTATGTAGCTTTTCAATTGTACTTCCAAAACGGAAGCTGTCATAACAATTTGTGTAGTGTTTTTTTTTTAATGAAACCAATACCATGTTTTGTACGTTTAAAAGATTTCATGGATACGTTTCGATACAGAATCTAGAATACATTAGAATACAAGCGACTTATATCACATTTTAAAGTGATCAGCTTTGTAATTTTTTGTGTCTGAGATTTATTTCCCACTTTTAGTCGTTGTTTTTTCGAAGCTGTTATTGAAAATATGTCTGTTATAATTGATAGCATTGAGATTAAAAAAAAAAACCAACATTTAAAAACTAATTTAGATTAAAGTTTTTCGACTAGATCTAATCATTAAGTTAAAAAAATCGATATTCTTGCTAAATTTCAGCTCAATCAGGCCAAATTATTGTTTTAATATACGCAGAGATACACTAAAAGACACATTCACACACACACGCACACACACACATACGCACACACACACACACACACACACGCACACACGTGCACACATACACACACACACATACATACATATATAGGCTAATTAGCGACTTATATAAAAGCCTTAAAAAAGCTTGTTACTACAACTTTTTATTACAATTTTAAAAAGTATTTTAGGTTTTACAACAAACATTTTTAAATATTATTGCGGGAGGAACTGACCATGTGTGAAAGAATCTTGCTCTTAGCATGTTTTTTATGGATGGCTGCTAAAACGGGTAAGATGAGTGTTTCTTTTAGTCCTCACTCCGTGGGATGGGCGGGGGCACCGAAGTACTTTCACCGCCCCCCCCCCCCACTCTCCAACGAAATATACATTTACATAGAAAATATATACTTTAACCTGTACAAGGCTTGGGTTTTACATGCGTTTTGCAAGTGTTTATTTGCTACAAACAAACGGACGGTGTGCAGAATTTCTTCCAGGCATCTCTTCGGGGGGGGGGGGGGGTGCGGACCGCAACGGGTGACACCATTTAGGGGGGGTGACACCATTTAGGGGGGTGACACCAAGGCAAAAAATAGCAAAATATATAGCGAAAAATTTGATCGGGGTGCAAATCGCAAGTTTGAGGGGGGGGGGGGTGCAAATCGAAAGTTTGAGTGGGGGGGGGGGGGGGTGCAAATCGAAATTTTGAAAGTTTGTCCCCGCGAAGGGTCGCCACGCCTCAGGGGGGTGACACCATTAAGTGCCGCACCGGGTGACACCCGACCTCGCTACGCCACTGACTCTACCCTTGTTTACAGAAAAAGTAAATTTGTTTTGATCAGCATGTACAATGTGCGTAGAAAAATATGCTAACATTGTGGCGTCATCACTTGATTTAGACAAAAGTCTAGTCCAAACTAGGGCAAGGCATCCACTAGGGCAGGGGTCTCCAAACTACGGCCCGCGGGTCGGATGCGGCCCGCGAAGTCCTCTCATCCGGCCCGCGGAGATCTTTTTGTCCAAGGAAAAATCGTTTGTTTGGTGATGGATGAGGAACTTTGCGCAGAAAAATCAAAGACATGCCTGGAAGAAACTGGCCCCCGAACTAAAATTTGATAGTTGATGCGGCCCTCGGACTGAAAGGTTTGGAGACCCCTGCACTAGGGGAAGATGGTGTGGTCTAGTGGTAGAGAGCTGAACTGCTAACACGTAAGTCTCGAGTTCGAATCCGGGTTGAAGTCAGTAGACCGTCCCTGAGTCCAACCAACTCTGATGGGTACCTAACTCACGTTAGTAAAAGTAAAGGCGGCTGAGCATAGTGCCGAACACACTATCTCTTCATATGCTGAGGTCACAGAAACAAGTAAACTCTACTTCACTTGCCCTATAGACCGTCAGGTTTGAAAGGGAACTTAACTTTACTTTTATCAATGGTATTACTAGCCTCGGTTTATTATACCATGTACGAGATTAAAATGATAGTTGGCGTTGAAATCTGGGGACAGTTTTACATCGGATAGAATAATATCTTTTTTCTCCACCCCAAATACAGGTGCAGCTCAAGAACTTGTGTATGTGTGGGGGCCAAATCCCATCAAAAATAAGTACTCACTTCTCTTGACGTTTGTCACCGTATACCCGGATAACGATCTACACGTGAGTTTTTCTAGATCGTGTATTTACGAGTTCACATCATTTTACTAAGGACAAATTATCGTTGAGGTTTTAACATTTAAATGACATAACGGCATTTATAAGGATGTTCGTTATATTTGTGAGTTTCGCTAGATCGTCTATTTACAAGTTCACATCAGTTTATTTAAGGACAGTATATCTTGGATTTGTAACTGATTTTAAATGAAATAATGGCCTTTGTAAGGATATTCGGTTAAGGTTGCTTGATGACCTTGTTGAAAAGTTCAGCGATTGTTCATTGATTCTTTGACGCCAAAAGGCCTTCGCTGAACGTTAAAGAAGGTGTAGGGGGGGGGGGGGGGAGGTAATTTTCTAAAAAAAAAAGTTTAGAGAATAAACGGGATAAAAGATTTTGGTCCCTACTGTTTTAAAAATCTTTAAAAATTAATGTAGAATTTTATTTTAGGTTTTGTTTAGCATTTATTATAAGTAAAATCAATGAAATAAATAAAATATAATAATACTTTAATTTGCTAAAAATAGACAAAAAAGAAACCAAATATCTTGCTTCGGTAAATGTGTTATTTTATAAATATCATTTGCATAAAGCTTATACCTACAAAAGAAAGTTTTTTTTATTAGATTTTCATTTCCTTTAGCTTATTAGCTTACAGATTTACAAAATTCATTTATATATATTAATTAATTTATTTTAGTAAAACATTACACTTTGTAAATCTAATAAGAAGATTAACATAAAATTAAATAAAACACCATTGAAGTTTAATAAGTGGTTAAATTAGTGCTTGGTTCAGGCGAACAAAAAAGCATTCATAATTCTTTCAAACTTCATCGGATTTTTAAGTCTAACTTCAATGTATATGAAGAAATGTCTACTTTAGTAAAATTTGATGCTAAGGTTAAATTTCCATAGGAATGACAAACGCTGCTGTTCTATATAGCAAGCTTTAATAGATTCACAACTTAAGCTGTCGATTCTTTCTTCTAATTTCAGATTCGTTATTTAGATTACAAGAACAGTCGGAATGTTCTGGTGACGCATGAAAGAAATCTGAGACAGAACTCAAGAACGACCTATACATTAGTTGAAGTGTAGTAACAATTTTTTTTAAAATAATTATTTACTTATCACATTATTTTTATTATTAGGAAAAATGTTCAATCTATCAGAATGTAATAATAATTTTTATTATATATTTATCATAATTATTATCATAATTTTTTTATTTTTTGTAGAGTTAAAATTAATTACTTCCGTATGGTGATAAAATGATCGTGCAAAACATTTTGAATACGGGAATAGAGGCGTAGCGACCCTTCCCGGCGCCCGGGGACATACTTTCAATTTGGCGCCCCCTTGGGAGCAAATTTTCGATTTCCACCCCCTCTCGAACTTTTCATTTTTACCCAGCCCCCCCTCAAACTTTCGATTTGCACCCCCCTCAAACTTTCGATTTGCACCCCCCTAAGGTCGGCGCCCGGGGACATATGCCCCCCCCCTCGCTACGCTACTGTACGGGAATCTAAAATTAATTTTATTCAGAGGGCTCTTGTTTGGTGTTTCATGACTAATGTAAAATAGAAAATTATGTTTTCAGTAAAACATTTATACGAATACATTTTGGAAAAAACCCCAATATATTTAAACATTTTTAAAAAACGTTGAGATGTTTTTAAACATTTGAAAAAAAAGTACTTACTTTATCTAATTATATAAAAACAGCTGTTTGTCAGAATTTTTTTTGATTTAATGAGATCAGTATATTCAGCTAAATGAGTCGAACTTAAACATGCGTCCTTTTACGGAGAAAAATATGCTGATTATACTGAACGTATAATTTTTTTAAACCGTTTTTTTAAAGAAGGTAACACATATTCAATTTACTAGAATGAAGAAACAAACATTTAATTATGCAGCCGGAAAAATTATGCTTATTTTCAACATTACAGGAAATACTTATTAAAAATATGTTCAAAGTGAACATACAGGCCAAATAGAAATTATTATACTGTCCTTTAGTTGTCAATTACAAAGATTCCAACAATAAAATATAAAAAATATAATACTTATAAATTAGTAAAAAAAAAAGAAAATACCAAATTGTTGGGTTTTTTTTCTTAATAACCTAAATTACTGAATCTTCGGCGTGGTCGAGTCGGTAAAGCTCATGGTTGCTAAACCGAAAAGTCTCGAGTTCGAACCCTGGGGACAGCCACTCTTCTAGGAGAGACAATTCGAAAATCAAACAACTGCTGCCTTGTAGTTTGTTCTTGGTTGGACATAGGCTATGGAAGCAAATCCAAAAAGAAAAGCAGGCTGAAATCGGAGTCAATGGCCTCAATGGCGCATAACATTCAAACTTTAGTAAAAATCAACGAAAAAAAAATTAATAAGATTTTAAAGCCATGTTTAATTTAATAACATCGTATTCAATTGTTAAAATATTTCATGGGTCTTTCGAAAAATCCCGAGACTATTCTGGGTTACTCGGGTTCAAATCAATAGAACGTACCTGAGTCCGCCCAGCTCTAATGGGCACCTAACTCACGTTAGGAAATCAAAGGCAGCTGGACATAGTGCTGACAATATTATCCACTTGTAAACCGAGGTTACTGAAACAGATGATGATTCTGGGTTGGGTCCATTGTAATATTACTTTTTTTTTTCCTAAGAAGGGACACAATTGAAGAATAAAATCACTTTCTGTTGGCTCCAATGTAACATTCTTTTACCTAACAAGGGACATAATTGGAGAATAAAATCACTTCAATATTATTTTTTCCATAACTAGGGACGGAATTAAGGAATACAGCCACTTCCTGTTGGAGATGGAGACTGCAAACCCTTTCGAATTTGTCGCGCTGACTGAATTGACTAGTAAGGTCGCCATCGACAATTTCCGATCAATACCCACCATTGACTGGAGTATTGAATATGCCGTGATGATTCGTACAAAATCGTAAGTTATTCTGGATATATATATATATATATATATATATATATATATATATATATATATATATATATATATATATACAGTGGCGTAGCGAGGTCGGGTGTCACCCGGTGCGGCACTTAATGGTGTAACCCCCCCAGAGGCGTAGCGACCCTTCCCGGGGGCAAACTTTCAAATTTTCGATTTGCATCCCCCCCTCCCTCAAGTTTTCGATTTGCACCTCCCCATCAAACTTTCGATTTGCACCCCCCTCAAGATTTTCTCTATATATTTTGCTATTTTTTGCCTTGGTGTCACCCCCCCCCCCCCCTAAATGGTGTTACCCGGTGCGGTCCGCACCTCCGCCCCCCCTCGGTACGCCCCTGTATATATATATATATATATATATATATATATATATATATATATATATATATATATATATATGTATATGTTGTAACTTACTTAGGTCTTCTTACTTCTTTATTATTAATTATATTAATATTTTAAATGGCCTTGAGCCATCTGTTGTTCACACTAAAGAAATTGTCCATCACACTCCTGTGATAGTATTCACCACTGAGTTCGCGTGACTCGTGCTTTGGCTCCTCCCTCCCCCCCCCCCCCCCCCCGATGGTTCCTGACATTGAGGTCAACATCTCATAATTTTCAGAGTGGTATATAAGCCAGAAATATTTCAGCCCACTAGACACCCAGGAGAGAGAGAGCCACGTACGACGCCATGTTGTATCTTCTAGTTTAAGCAGATATTATCTCTAAGTTCCCAGTGTATTCGGTATTTTTCTGTGTCTCATTTTAAGAACACGTAGGTTGTGTTGATTACTTCGGTACCTTATCCAGTGTTAGTAGTTTCAGTGTGTTATTCCTAAAATCGTAAGTTGGGTCTTCCATTACTGTATATTTCTATTGTTTTTACATAGCTATTTATTATTTAGACTTGTATGCATATTAGAAGGTTGTAGATTGATTTAAAAGTATTATTAGATGCAGAAGGTCTTCGTGAGTGTTTTTACCCTAGACTGTAGATTCGGGTCCACGAAGAGTTTTTGTTTTCTGGTAGTCTTTTTAGTTTCGTAAGTCATCAGTCTTATATCATCCAAAACGAATCCGGTTATTGCGTTATCTTTACCAGTGGTAGAGGTACATAATAATGTATCATATGCCGCTATTTAGTTGTTTTATTTTCTACTTTTCAGTAATTAATAATTTGTGAATTCGACAGTACCAATGCTGCCACTGAAAATATTTGCTTTAAACACTATCAGTAGCTTGTTAAGAACGTGAAAGCAGCCTCCACTGAGAGGGGGGTCAAAACTGACCTCGACAGACCGGCGCCTTATATGGGCTGTATTACGAAAAAAAACTTTTGCCGAATGACCTCACCCCTTTGATATCTTGTGAGGTGGTAGGAGAACACCTATGGTTGTCACAAAAAACTCGGCATATCTGGGAAAACTTCGTAGGGGGTCAAAACTGACCAGTTGTATTTCCCTATATAATCTTTGTATTTTATGGGAAAAACAGGGTAATTTGAAAACGAATTTTAGGGCACTTAAACTTGGTATATCGGGCTAATTTTTTCCATGTTTGGGAACATTTTCGGTTTGACTTTGACTCAAAGTCCTCGACGAGCGATAAACGATGACCGCGAGTGAAAATCTCATTATTTGAGATATATAACGAAAAATATTCTTGCCAAACGACCCCCTTGATATTTGTGAGGTGGTAGGAGAACGCCTAAGGATGTCACAAAAAACTCGGCATGTCTGGGAAAACTTCGTAAAGGGGTCAAAACTGACCAGTTGTATTTCCCTATATAATCATTGTATTTTATGGGAAAAACAGAGTAATTTGAAAACGGATTTTAGGGCACTTACCCTCTTGACATCTGGCTAATGTTTGGCATGTTTATAGGTAAATGGCTTGGCCGTAGGGGAGTCCTGTTGGTTTTACTCAAAGCCCTCGACGAGGGCTAAAAAGTGACCGCGAGTGAAATTCACTTTATATGATCTCTATTACAAAAAAAAACTTTCCTTCGACGGCCCCCCCTTGAAATTGTGTGAGGTGGTAGGAGAACACCTAGGTGTGTCACAAAAAACTCGCCATGTCCGGCAAAACTTCGTAAAGGGGTCAAAACCGACTAGTTGTATTTCCCTATATAATATTTGTATTTTATGGGAAAAACAGAGGGTCATTTCAAGGCGGATTTTACGGTACTTAAACTCAGTATATATGGCTAATGTTTTTTGCATGCTCCTAGGTAAGTGGCTTAACCTTTAGGGAAAACTGTCGGTTTGACTCAAAGCCCTCGACGAGGGCTAAAACATGACTGCGAATGAAAATCTTATATGAGATATATGTAAATAAATTAACGAACGATCCCCTTAATATTATTTGAGGTCGTAGACCGACCCTGGAGGGTAACAAAAAACCTTTATTCCCGTCGGAAAAAGCCATTGTAGTCGTTAAATATGTTCCGATATCGTATTTTCTTATATAAGCATAGAAATTGTTTGTTTAAAAACGTAAACAAAGACATACGTCATTCGGTCCATTTTCAAGGGAGATACCTTTTTAAAATAATTATTTTTCAAATAATTTTATACTATTTTAAACAGAAACAGAAAATGACAAAGTATAGCATTTGTTTTAGTAAAAACATAAGTTGTTTATTAAGCTACGTATCCTAATTAAATAAAAAATAATTTAAAAAGTCAATGTAATATAAATTATGAGATATACTGTTCATGGAACCTCTGTAGTTATAATTCCATTTTAGTCATAGATTGCGTACTTTCAAAAATATCTGCTGAAAACGGATGTTAAACATCAACCAACAACATATTCTCTAAAATTAGCATTACTGTTTAAATTTAAGCACTCCTCACCTCATCCATCACTAAATAATTAAGCACAACTTCTCAAATGTTTTTGAAAACCTAAGCGAAGCTATGCAGTATGCCTAGTATATATGTATATATATATATGTATATATATATATATATATATATATATATATATATATATATATATATATATATATATATATATGATCGCTTATGACGGCCTATAAAGCATATAACCAGTTGACACGTAATACTTATTTGTGTTGGAGGAAATCCTTTTTAACATCAAAATTTAGAACGAAGAAGAAAGTGAAAGAATTCTTAAACAGTGACATTGAGCTAACGACCAAAGCTGTTGTTGCTTCGTTTAATAAATGTATATTATATATCTTTTAGTATCGACATTTTTTTTCCCCAGAAACTACAAAACTGTAAGCGTCTTTAGTTTACAGGCGCAACGTATTTCAATTGAGTACCAATCATACGCAGACTCAGAGGGTCCTCTATTCGAAGGGTATATGCTGAAGTCAACACAAATGCAACAGGATGGCATAATGGCTAAACCGTAAATATTTTGACATTTTCAACAATTAAAAAAATATATTTAAATAGCTAGATAAAATCGATATTAATTCTTCGGTACTGATTTAACCAAAAAGTTCAATTTTTACTAGGTTTGAATACAATTCTTGTATAATTTTGTATGTTTTAGAATGATGTAGAAAAGTAATTTCTCGCTTCATGTAAATAAAAGTATGTGTGTGTTGATGGGGCGGCTGGGGCTAAGCGGCAGAGCACTAGGCTGCTAACCAGAAAGAATCGAGTTTGAGTCCAATTTAGTTAAATGTCCATCGGTACATAACTCATTTTATGCAAAGTAAACGAGGCTTGGCATAGTGCTAACCACACATTTTCTTCATGTATCAGGAAACAAAGGAACATTGCCTCTGCCCAACGTATCTCTAGGTCTAAAGAGGGTTGTTTTATTTGATGTGTGTACGTGGTTGTTGGACTTGTACATGATGTATGTACGTGGTTGTTGGACTTGTACATGCTGTGTGTACGTGGTTGTTGGACTTGTACATGATGTATGTACGTGGTTGTTGGACTTGTACATGATGTATGTACGTGGTTGTTGGACTTGTACATGATGTGTGTACGTGGTTGTTGGACTTGTACATGATGTATGTACGTGGTTGTTGGACTTGTACATGATGTATGTACGTGGTTGTTTGACTTGTACATGATGTATGTACGTGGTTGTTGGACTTGTACATGATGTATGTACATGGTTGTTGGACTTGTACATGACGTATGTACGTGGTTGTTGGACTTGTACATGATGTATGTACGTGGTTGTTGGACTTGTACATGATGTATGTACGTGGTTGTTGGACTTGTACATGATGTATGTACGTGGTTGTTGGACTTGTACATGATGTATGTACGTGGTTGTTGGACTTGTACATGATGTATGTACGTGGTTGTTGGACTTGTACATGATGTATGTACGTGGTTGTTGGACTTGTACATGATGTATGTACGTGGTTGTTGGACTTGTACATGATGTATGTACGTGGTTGTTGGACTTGTACATGATGTATGTACATGGTTGTTGGACTTGTACATGCTGTATGTACATAGTTGTTGGACTTGTACATGATGTGTGTACGTGGTTGTTTGACTTGTACATGATGTATGTACGTGGTTGTTGGACTTGTACATGATGTGTGTACGTGGTTGTTGGACTTGTACATGATGTATGTACATGGTTGTTGGACTTGTACATGATGTATGTACGTGGTTGTTGGACTTGTACATGATGTATGTACGTGGTTGTTGGACTTGTACATGATGTGTGTACGTGGTTGTTGGACTTGTACATGATGTGTGTACGTGGTTGTTGGACTTGTATATGACTTATGTACATGGTTGTTGGACTTGTACATGATGTATGTACGTGGTTGTTAGACTTGTACATGATGTGTGTACGTGGTTGTTGGACTTGTACATGATGTATGTACGTGGTTGTTGGACTTGTACATAATGTATGTACGTGGTTGTTGGACTTGTACATGATGTGTACGTGTTTGTTAGATGCCTAACTTTCATCTGATCGCCATCATCGGTTTCGTGATGACAGTATTCCCGGAAAGATTTACGTTTACCTATTACCTATTACCAATTACCTATTAGCTATTAGCTGTTACATATTACATATTTTCTTTTACCTATTACCTATTACCTATTACCAATTACTTATTACCTTTTACCTACTAACTACTACCTACTTTCTACTACCTACTACCTACTACCTACTACCTACTACCTAATACCTACTACCTACTACCTACTACCTATAACCTATTACCAATTACCTTTTACCTTTCACCTTTTGTCTTTTATCTTTTAACTTTTTACATTTTACATTTTACTTTTACCTTTTATAATTTACCTTAACTTTTGCATTCACATTCACATTCACTTTCACCCATACCTTTATTCTTTGTTTTTACGTTTTTGTTCGTACTTTGATTTTCGTTTGTGTGTATGTGCGTGTTTGTGTTTATGTTTGTGTTTCTGTTTGTGGTTGCGGTTTTGGTTTTTGTTATGATTTGTTTGAAGGGATTTTCTTTTAAAAAGCAGTACTCTCCACTGTTTAAAAGCTGAATTTTGCCATTTCTATTAGCACCCCGACTAAAAACCTTCAGTGTAGAAATTCTTTGTAAATAATTCACGGAACATAGCGGGTTCTGGTATAGATAAGAAAAGTCAGAAACAGAGTTTCTTTCATGCAGAGTTTCTTTTGTTTTCAGAGGCGTAAGTTGATAATCTTAGGTTACTCTTGAGAAATTTCAAAAAGAATATTTTTTTTTGTAACTATTCCAAATAGATGGTGCGTTTGATTTAGCTGAATTTAACGCATTGCTATTTTTAAAAAAATGCCGATTCAGTTCTTAATTTTGTTTTTAATTTGTCGTTTGAACTATAAGTACAAATCATGATAATGTATCTAACTTTGAAGAAGAAAGAAATAAGAGGTAATATTCTTTACGAATAATTATTGTTATATTGCATTTTATATTCTAGATTATAATTGAAAAACATAAGTGGTACAATTCATTACTTATAATTATTTTTATATTGCAATTTTGATTTTGGAATATAATTGAAAGAACTTAGTGGTTAAATCATTAAAAATAACTACTGTTATATTAAATTTTAGATTCTGGAATAAAATGAAAAGAAATAAGTAGTAAAACTTATTGCAAATAATTACTGTTATAGTACATTTTAGATTCTGTAATATTTTTTAAAAATAATTAATGTTATATTATATTTTAAATTCTGGAATATAACATAATAAAATTCCTCATTTTTTTCAAATAATGCCCAGTAAATTATTATATTTGACAGACACAAAAACATGTTTCCACTTTACTAGTTTCTGGAGACTTTTTTCTCAGTTTTTTTTTTTAATAGGACAATCTCATTAATTAGTCAATTATAACCTTGTGTACGCTCTCCAGATACGTGCCGGAGGACATTACTGTCTTTATAATTACCTACGAACAGAATAGGTTTGTCCACGGTAATTAATATCTTTTGAAATTCTATCTGTACTTTGATTTCTATTTTTATTTCAAGTCATACATTAACACAGTTTATAATGTCCATTTTAATTCGGGGAATTGCTAAAAATGTTATGATTTTGTCATGCTTTAGCCGCTTTTTTAACTGGCGAGCAAAGATTTGGCTGCTTGCTACTTGGGTCACAAAATGATGGACTCTTTCCGGCGGGTAATTATAGTTTATTATGTCTTTTTACTTTCTCGTATATACGAAGTATACAGAAAGTCTTGTAATCGTGCAAAAAAAAAAATCGAGATTTTTACAAATCTCGACGTTTTACACTTCACTGATACAGAAAAACATAATTTTGCAATCTTGTCCGTATGTCTGTGTGTCTGTGTGTGTGTGTGTGTGTGTGTGTGTGTGTGTGTGTGTGTGTGTGTGTGTGTGTGTGTGTGTGTGTGTGTGTGTGTGTGTGTGTAAACACGATAACTTGAGTACCGTGACAGCTAGGTTGATAAAGTTTCATATATAAGTATTTTATCAAAATTAGGTTGATTAAGTCCTAGACCTAGACCTAGACCTAGACCTAGACCTAGACCTAGACCTAGACCTAGACCTAGACCTAGACCTAGACCTAGACCTAGACCTAGACCTAGACCTAGACCTAGACCTAGACCTAGACCTAGACTTAGACCTAGACCTAGACCTAGACCGGGACCTAAACCTAGACCTAGACAGATTTGGACACGGACAAAGACACAGACATAAACGTTGACATTGACAGTAGACTTAGACATAGACATAGACATAGACATAGACATAGACATAGACATAGACATAGACATAGACATAGACATAGACATAGACATAGACATAGACATAGACATAGACATAGACATAGACATAGACATAGACATAGACATAGACATAGACATAGACATAGACATAGACATAGACATAGACATAGACATAGACATATACTTACATATACTTACATATACTTACATATACTTACATATACTTACATATACTTACATATACTTACATATACTTACATATATATTTATATATATATATATATATATATATATATATATATATATATATATATATATATATATATATATATATATATATATATATATATAAACAAGCAAATACGTAGTCCTATTTGAGATAAAGTTAGATAAAACAAGTGTTCAAACAACTTTTAATAATTATGTGTTTTTTTCCGTCACTACTATAGATATTGCATTTGTTCCACCTCCACCTGTGAAGTATACTTTTTATGGACGAAAATTTAAGAAATTCGGCCTTCCGTATGACATCATAATCAAAATTTTAGTCCTTAAAGATGTATCCCCGCCTAATGTAGTAAAGTTTGAGCTTTTTAATGGTACGAAAAAAGAAGTCAGCTCATTTAATTATGGAACCGTTTTAGAGGTATTCAAATTTAATTTTTTATATAATATACTATATATAAAACTGTAGTATAATATAACATTGTATAGTTATTTTATGTTACGTCACGTTACGTTACGTTACGATACGTTACGATGTGTTGAGTTGTGTCTTGTTGTGTTTTGTGTTAAAGGTTACGTCACCTCATGTCGTGTTTTATTTTATTTTATCTTACTGTATCTTATTTTATCTTATTTTATCTTATTGTATCTTATTTTAGTTTATGTTATCTTATCTTATCTTATTTTATCTTATTTTATCTTATTTTATCCTATTTTATCGTATTTTATTTTATTTTATTTTATTTTATTTTATTTTATTTTAATTTATTTTATTTTATTTTATTTTATTTTATTTTATTTTATTTTATTTTATTTTATTTTATTTTATTTTATTTTATTTTATTTTATTTCATTTCATTTCATTTCATTTCATTTCATTTTATTTTATTTTATTTTATTTTATTTTATTTTATTTTATTTTATTTTATTATTTTATTTTATTTCATTTTATTTTATTTCATTTTATTTCCTTTTCTTTTGCTTCGCTTTGCTTTGCTTTACTTTATTTCATATTAAACATGAGGTTTACTATGCTTATGTATCGATATAAATGAACATTATTCTAAGATTAGTTTAAATTTGATTAAAACACTTTCAGTTTACCAACCTTGCAAAGATTGAATCAGTCATACCGTTTCAAGCTTTCGCAATGAAAACTCTGGAGTCCTACGTACATGTACAACTTGATTTGTTTTCATATTTCAAACGTGCACATGTAATACTGTAAGTTTGAAAGGTTTAAACAATTGTAATTTTTATCGTAGTAAAATGTAGCGTACAGATTACAACCAACCTCCAGCCATATATGTTGTAAATTATTTCTGCTTTCAATTTGAATCCCCCTTTTACACTCTTAGTTTATATTACATCTGTCATTACATGTTCGTTTTCTTCTTAATTCGGAATTGTAACTTTCGAGTAGATTTCTTCCAAAACAATTAGGCATTAGGTGTGAACATGTTGTTTGCCTTTGGTTCCGATGACTTCGATTTCAGCAAGTTTGTTTTTCTGGTTTTGCTTCAATAGAACCCGTTGACCTAAGAATAAACTACAAGTCACAGATGTTTTTGATTTTGGAGATTTTCTCATAGATGTGGTTACTATCGCCAATTAGCTTGATCTGCCAAGGGATTATTCAATTTTTCGTAGAAATTCTGTAGAGGCTAAGATTATTAGGCGTCTAAAGTAACCCGGAATAATTCCATACCCTACTTTTATTTTTATTTTTATAAAATCATGTATTAGCACTACTTCATTACTTTATACGGTGCATACTTGCACACGACATATTTATATGATGGTAAACGAATACTTAGCGAATTCTTTACGAATAATTATTTATTTTTTATTGCAAAAATAAGGTAGGTAGGGCAATTCCACACCCTAGAGTAATACAATAAAAAACTAAATAAAAAATTTGCAGAAAACAAAAGACTTATATGGGGGCAGCTATTCTTCATAACTGGAAGAAGAAAATGCCCATTTAACAACTTAGGTCTTTTTCTACAACCGTTTTCAAAAACCTCCACGTCATAAGCTGCTCTTAAGGAGATGTTTTGGGCTGACTATGGCTGACCACACTGAAATTATTTTTTAAAAATGTTTTTTACTACTATTTTTATATAATGTTAATGATTTAATTATTACTGGCTTTAAATATTTCATTACAAATATAGGCTAAAGTAAAAATTAAATTAAAGACAAAGAAAAAACTCTATGATGGAAATTTACATAGGGTGTGGAAATGCTCCACGCCATAGGATGTGGAATTACCCCACACCTACTATTGATAAAAATGTTTTCCAATTATAAAAAAATAAGCTGAATCGGACATCATTAATGTCCAAATTCAGCTGTTTTTTTTTTAAATGTATTTATTAGTAACAAAAATTATTAAGCTAACGTAAAAAAAAAATCAATAAATTAGCGACAGTAGTTAAAAAATGTAAAAATTTTTTTTAAACGTACGCTGGGAAGCTTGAGGAGTGAATGCTTTGATCGTAGACAAATTCCTTTCAAATCGAAACAGGAATCTAAGGAAAATAACCTCTTACCAATAGAACATGATTTAGATTTGTGTAAATTAATTCACGTTTTAAAAAAAGACCATTCAGTATATAGGGTGTGGAATTACCAAGTGTGTGGAATTACCCCGGGTTACCCTACTTACTCGAAACGAAACGAATTTTATAAAATTTTATAAAATTGTATAGAATTTTATAGAATTTTTTTAGAACTTTATAGAATTCTATAGAATTGTATAGAATATTATAGAATAAGTTTTAACAATGTGTATTCGATGAAATTTACTTGTAATATAGAACATAATAATGCCCCATCTTCAATTATTGTTTTTACATTGATCTTCATGGGAGATATTATTGAAAACTATACTTTAGAATGGTTAAAATAGTAAAAATACATCATTTTAAATCGACTTTCTCTCCACAAGCATAGTAAAACCTTGGTCATCTGTTTTAGTATGATTCTTTTAACTAATCTAGCAACCCCCTCAATGATTAACTTAGACGATACCAACAAAGAGAAAGACAGTTAACATATTTTATTAAACATAATATAACATGTATAGAATTTTATAGAATTTTATAGAATTTTATAGAATTTTATAGAATATAGAATTTTATAGAATTTTATAGAATTTTATAGAATTTTATAGAATTTTATAGAATTTTATAGAATTTTATAGAATTTTATAGAATTTTATAGAATTTTATAGAATTTTATAGTTTTATAGAATTTTATAGACTTTTATAAAATTTTATAGAATCGTATAGAATTTTATAGAATTTTACAGAATAAGTTTAAACAATAGTTTTCGATGAAATATACTTGTACTATAGTATATAATAATGTCCCAGGTTTAGTTATTGTTTTTACATTGAAACATATTTATTAGAAATGTTAAAATAGTATAAATACATTATTTTAAATCGACGTTCTCTCCACAAGCATAGTAAAAACTTTGGTCAGCTTTTTAGTATGATTCTTTTAACCAATCTATGAACCCCCTCAATGATGATACTACCAAAGAGAAAGACAATTAGTTAAAATATTTTATGAAACATATTATAACATTTTATAGAATTTTATAGAATTTTATAGAATTTTATAGAATTTTATAAAATTGTATAGATTTTTTTTATAGAATTGTATAGAATTTTGCAGAATAAGTTTAAACAATATGTATTCGAGGAAATGTACTTGTAATGTGGTACATAATAATGCTCCAGCTTCAGTTTCTGTTTTTACATTGTTCTTAATGGGAGATATTATTGAAAACTATAGGGTTAAAATAGTAAAAATACATTATTTTAAATCGGCTTTCTCTCTACAAGCATAGTTAAACCTTGGTCATCTGTTTTAGTATGATTCTTTTAACCAATCTAAGAACCCCCTCAATGATTAACTTAGACGATACAAAGAGAAAGACAATTAGTTAAAATATTTTATGAAACATATTTTTTGAACTTTTTAGCCTTGAACCAATTAAAAAAAAACACATTTGCGCTCAGACTGATTTCTTCGCTAACTCCTCTCCGTTTCTTACGTCTAGGCGGCTTCATTAAAAGCTCCTGGTAATTTTTTTTTTACTAGAACAACGTCGGTGGTTTTTAGCGACTGCAATACACATAACACCACACGTTTATACCAGTACTTTTAAAATCACAACATGCACTGGGATTTATGAAGAAAAAAAAGTTTGGTTAAAAAAATTATATTTCCTCCGCTGCTTTATATTTTGTCATCCAAGTCAGTGGCGTAGGCAAGGGGGGGGGGGGTATAGGGGGGGGGGGTCATAACCCCCCCCCCCCCCCATAGACCCCTCAGTATATATATATATATATATATATATATATATATATATATATATATATATATATATATATATAAAGTATGAGGGGGGTGCAAAGCGAAAGTTTTGAGGGGTGGGGGGGGGGTGCAAATCGAAAGCTTGTCCCCGGGTAAAAATTGGACCCCCCCTTGAGACGATCCTGGCTACGCCACTGATGCAAATACATTTGTTAAATCATGTTTTTATTTAACTCATCATATAAAATATAAATATGACTTTTTTCACTCTTAAAAGGAATCCAATGAAAATGGAAATATTAGAGGTCAATTTAACACTGACGGGTACAAAAATTGCATTGGAAACTCTCACACTAAATGACGATCCTTTGCATTTGAAGTAAGTTGTTTCAAGATATAAACATATTTCCATATCGCCAGTATAAAACTGCAGACGGAACCTGGGTGTATTCCTATGTTGTCATGATGTACACTAAACTACCACACTGTCAATTCTCCGCTGTGGTCAGTCCACTATGTTATGTAAAATGAGAATAATTATAAAACGTTAGAATTGCAATTTTAGGTAAAATAAGATTTCATTATTATACATATCTATATAAATATTATTCAAGTTGCAAATTTTAAATGGGTATTAAAAAGAATTGCATAAAAATCATTTTAATCACAAACTTTTATGTAGTAATGCACTGAAAAGTAGAAAATAAATGAAATTCTTGAAATAAATATTTACATAAATGTAAAGAGAACCGTAGGTAACTTTTTTTCCTATTGGATACCTTTGCTAATATTTAGGAATAAACCCACGATTTTCTTTACATTAATTTAAACAGACGTGTATTTTATTATATATTTAAACAAAATAATGTTTTTTTAATTAATAATTTATTACATGAAAGCTTGTTATTAAAACGTTATTATGCCATTTTTTCAGTACTTTAATAACTTTCGTTAAAAACTTTTTTATAATATGTGGTTATAGTTCAAATGACAAATAAACAACATTAAAGAACTGAATCGGTATTAAAAATAATAGTTTTATTTTGACTAATTCTGGCGTTTTATGACTTTATTGGCGCAGGAAAAACGTACTTTTGCAATCATGTGTGTGTTTTTTAAATTTGAGTAAAGTTTCAATTCTGTTGACCGAATTTCATATATAAGTATTAAATAAAATTGGTAGTTTCTATATTCTTATTGACCTATTTCCGGTGAACGAAAGTGACACATCATCTACTTTGTGTATCTCAAAAACTGATAATTCGAGTAGCATTAAATCAAGATAGACCAGTTTTCAAATATTGGTATTAGTTTGTATGCGAAGGTTTCTTTCAAAGTGTGTACGATTTCCCGTAACCGGAAGTGGAACATGGCTTTGTTTATTTTGGGGAACACGATAACTTCAATACTGTTTCAGTTACGAAGACGAAATTGTATATGTAAGTAAGAGATTTTATACCTGGATATCTATCTTTTGAGTGACCTTCAATATCCCAAAGTGGTACTTTGCTCTATTTCCATTTTCCAACTACAGGTAACATAAGCACCGTTTCAGTTAGGAAAACGAAACATTATAAAGATTTTTATTCCCTTGATTTCATCAAATTTTTAGTGAATTTAAAAATTGTTTATGAAGTACCAAATTTTCCGCACCCATTGTTTGCTCAATATTTTTTTTTAAATTGCATAAAAATATTTTAATAACATGATTTTATAATATTATGCACTAAGAAGGAGAGAATATATATTTAAAATAAATATAATAATGAACTTTAAAATTCTAGTAATGTATTCATATTACATAGCTACCCATGTTTATATTTTTAGTTATTCAAATACGCCCAGCCGAGTTATCTACCCTTTAGAGCTGGGTTCAATGACTTAAACCCGGAATCGAACACAAGTCATTTGTGATAACAGTCTACCTCTAGGCCACTTGCTCCCCCGTGCTCTTACTTTGGAATAGAGTTGTATAAAATATTATTTTTTTCGTGTTCCCCAGAGATTTAACGGTAATTCACGAAGATGATCAAATATATACAGGGTACGCTCGTGTTAGTTTTGCCCCTATGAAAATCAGCTCGTCACAAAATGTGTCAGTTTTCGTACAAGGTGGAGACACTGAAGCTTTGTATTACGAATATTCTAGTTTTGGGCCGACAACCTCCTTGGATGTAAGCTATGTTTTAGTTGAAAAGTGGTGTTTATCATCGCCATCATTATCACTATCATTATCATTACCATCATCATCACACTCATCATCATTACCATCATCATTAACATTTTCATCATCATCATCATCATCATCATCATTATCATTATCATTATCATCATCATCATCGCAATCATAATAACCATCATTATCATCCTCATCATCATTAACATTTTTATCATCATCGTCATCATCATCATCATCACCATCATAATTATCATCATCATGATCATTACCATCATCATTTATTTACAATACACTGCAAATAAAAACCTCGTCAAATAGTGAACGCAATAACCCTATCCTGATTTTTATCTTATTATTTCAAATGGCTCGGTCTTACAGTCATTTAATTTTTTTTTAAATATATCGTCTCACTTTGTTCGCATATGTGAAACTGATCAATATTAATATAGTAAATACATAACTTAATTAATTACAATAGTTTAGGTGTATGGAGTTACTTTAATAAGAACATAAGACTAATGCTAACTTTTACTATTTAAATTTGTTTGTAACTACAATTTATTTATTCATTTTCTGTTACGTTTAATGAATATATTTCACGTAAGGTTAAGATAAGGTTTTAATTTTATTATTACTGTAATCAATAGATAAATGCGCATTTGTTTAAAACAAATTCCTGCCGATTATAAAAGTTAGTGCAGTGGTAAAATTAGATTTAGGGATGAATAAATTAATGTTCGGACTTCATGAAAAACATATTGATATATTGATAGTTCTTGCATGTACGGGGGATTTCTTTTATATTGATATCGCTTAGATGGATGTCGGGGTTAAGGTAAACGTAAGAACGGATTAATAAAATGAACGACAATCTATAATATAGTACTGATTTAACCTATACGCATTTAATTTATAATTAATATTAACTCATAGTACGGTTGGTTTTTTTTTTAGTTTTTCGGCTTGCATTACGCTGTAATATTCATGCATTCGCATAACCGACAAATCAACTCAGTTATTTCTCAAAGAAGTAAAGATGCTAATGCAGATATAAATACTTATATAGAAACAGAATGACGTATACAAGTTGCTGACATCTTCTACAACATAATATATAAATACATATACATATATATACTTATAATATTTATGAGTGTATGTATACATATATATATATATATATATATATATATATATATATATATATATATATATATATATATATATATATATATATATATATTTATATATACATATAATATTTATGAGTGTATGTAGTTATATATATATATATATATATATATATATATATATATATATATATATATATATATATATGCTTTTGCCTTTTTAATTGATTCACTTTTTCTTTTTTCATATAGCCCAGAAAGTTTGACATCAACTTAAAGGAGTGGCTTACTTCTACAACGGTAAAAACCTCAGCAACTGCAAGAAATACACAAACTTCTACAGCTGCTGGAATCCCAACATCTGAAACAACATTGCGAACAACAAGCCCGACGCAATCTATACAAGTAACATCGAGCAAAATTGGAGAAACGCCACCTACTATATATAGTGAATTTAATGTAGGTAAGTGACGTTATGAAACCATGCGTGTGATATTTATACCTTGGCGTACTGGCTTATTGACGCAAAACAGGTTTGATATGTTCAATGCTCGTAACAGCCAGTAATAATTAAACACAAAAACATTTACATCAACTCGAGAACATGGTTTGATCTAAAGCAAAAAAACGAGTTCCGACAAACTAGTTCTAGACTAGACAAACGAGTTCTATGTAAACTAGTTCTATACAAATTAGTTCTAGACTAACAAGTTCTATACAAATTAGTTCTAGACTAACATGTTCTATACAAATTACTTTTAGACAAGGTAGTTCTATACAAACGAGATACCAACTAGTACTATAAAAATTAGTTCGAAACTAGGTCTATACAAATTAGTTCCAAATGTGTTCTATACAAATTAGTTCGAAACTAGTTTTATACAAATTAGTTCCAAACTATTTCTATTCAAATTAGTTCCAAACCAGTTCTTTACAAATTAGTTCCAAAATAGTTAAATTAGTTCGAAACTAGTTCTATAAAAATTAGTTTGAAACTAGTTCTATAGAAATTAGTTCCAAACTGGTTCTATACAAATTAGTTCCAAACTAATTCTATACAAATTAGTTCCAAGCAAACTAGTTCTATACAAATTAGTTCCAAGCAAACTAGTTCTATACAAATTAGTTCCACAAAAAATAGTTGTATACAAATTAGTTCCACAAAAAATAGTTCTATACAAATTAGTTCCAGAAAAACTATTTCTATACAAATTAGTTCCAGAAAAACTAGTTTTCCACGTGGGTTGTTCCTAATACGTCCATAACACCCGTGCTTTAAAAACGTGTTCAACAGTTTTCGTACCTTGTACAGAGTGTCTTTGGATAATTTATCTGACCATCGTATATTGACGATAATCTGTCAGCATTTTTTTTATTTACCTAAGTTTTTCTTACTTAAAAAGCGAACAGAATGTTTTTTCTCTCCGTCTCACTGCATAATCGCGCTTGACAAAAGACTTTCAACCAGTGTTTCTTCCAGACTTTTTTCTCCGGGGGGGGGGGGGGGGGGGCACTTGAAATTTTAAGGGGGGGGAGGCTGTAGACTTTCTTTGGGGGGGGGGGGGGCGGACACTGTTAAAAGTATATATTTTCTATATAAATTATATAAATTTAATTTCGTTCGGGGGGGGGGGGGGGGTAGCAAAGAAAAGAAATAATTGAATTTTCAGCTTAATCTGGAGTGCTTTGCATTTGCTAGCGAATCTTTCAACTCTTGTACCCCCCACACACACTCACAACCCCATAAGAGCTAATTTTTTATATGTAACATAATCGTTTTTAATCAAATCTGTAATAAGTAATTTTAATTACAATTTTTTTTTTTAAATTATTTTTGATTCTGTGCAGTTTGCAATCCTGATCGCTACGGGAAGGATTGCGCCCGCGTCTGCAAATGTAGTCAGAAATGTCGAATGGATGGGACGTGCTCCAACGAACCGTGTAGGATTGGAAAATTTGGGGATGGTTGTAGACACGGTAATGTGATGACATGAGTAGATATAGTGCTACGCTGATATGGTTCAGTGAATTGTGTAAATAAGTGACCTGGTTCAATGGCTAGTATGCACCTGTTAATATGGTGTTATGGTTCAGTGACTTGTGTAAATATAGTGATATGGTGATATGGTTCAGTGAATTGTGTAAATAAGTGACCTGGTTCAATGGCTAGTATACTCCTGTTAATATGGTGTTATGGTTCAGTGGCTTGTGTAAGTATAGTGCTATGGGGATATGGTTCAGTGAATTGTGTAAATAAGTGACCTGCTTCAATGGCTAGTATACTCCTGTTAATATGGTGTTATGGTTCAGTGGCTTGGGTAAATATAGTAATATAGTGATATGGTTTAGTGAATTGTGTAAATAAAAGACCTGGTTGAATGGCTAGTATACACCTGTTAATATGGTGTTATGGTTCAGTGACTTGTGTAAATATAGTGCTATGGGGATATGGTCCAGTGAATTGTGTAAATAAGTGACCTGGTTCAATGGCTAGTATACACCTGTTAATATGGTGTTATGGTTCAGTGACTTGTGTAAATATAGTGATTTCGTGATATGGTTTAGTGAATTGTGTAAATAAAAGACCTGGTTCAATGGCTAGTATACACCTGTTAATATGGTGTTATGGTTCAGTGACTTGTGTAAATATAGTGATATGGTGATATGGTTTAGTGAATTGTGTAAATAAAAGACCTGGTTCAATGGCTAGTATACACCTGTTAATATGGTGTTATGGTTCAGTGACTTGTGTAAATATAGTGATATGGTGATATGGTTTAGTGAATTGTGTAAATAAAAGACCTGGTTCAATGGCTAGTATACACCTGTTAATATGGTGTTATGGTTCAGTGACTTGTGTAAATATAGTGCTATGGGGATATGGTCCAGTGAATTGTGTAGTACGTGCTGACATGGTTCAGTGATCTGTGTAAATATGTGACCTGGTTCAATGGCTAATATGCACCTGGTAATATATAATGATATGGTTCAGTGGCTTGTGCAATACATGGTAATAGCGTGACATGGATCAATGGCTCGTGTTAATATGGTGATATGGTGACCTAGTTCTATGCCTGGTGTAAAAGTGTGACCTAGTTCATTGCCTGGTGTAAACACGTGACCTAGTTCATTGCCTGGTATAAACACGTGACCTAGTTCTATGCCTGGTATAAACACGTGACCTAGTTATATGCCTGGTTTAAACACGTGACCTAGTTCTACACCTGGTATAAACATGTGACCTACTTCTATGCCTGGTATAAACACGTGACCTGGTTCTATGCCTGGTGTAAAAATGTGACCTAGTTCTATGCCTGGTGTAAAAATGTGACCTAGTTCTATACCTGGTATAAACATGTGACCTAGTTCTATGCCTGGTGTAAAAATGTGACCTAGTTCTATGCCTGGTGTAAAAATGTGACCTAGTTCTATGCCTGGTGTAAACATGTAACCTAGTTCTTTGCCTGGTGTAAACATGTGACCTAGTTCTATGTCTGGTATAAACATGTGACCTCGTTCTATACCTGGTGTAAACATGTGACCTAGTTCTATACCTGGTATAAACATGTGACCTAGTTCTATACCTGGTGTAAACATGTGACCTAGTTCTATACCTGGTGTAAACATGTCACCTAGTTCTACACCTGGTGTAAAAATGTGACCTAGTTCTATGCCTGGTGTAAACATGTAACCTAGTTCTTTGCCTGGTGTAAACATGTGACCTAGTTCTATGTCTGGTATAAACATGTGACCTCGTTCTATACCTGGTGTAAACATGTAACCTAGTTCTTTGCCTGGTGTAAACATGTGACCTAGTTCTATGTCTGGTATAAACATGTGACCTAGTTCTATGTCTGGTATAAACATGTGACCTAGTTCTATACCTGGTGTAAACATGTGACCTAGTTCTATACCTGGTGTAAACATGTGACCTAGTTCTACACCTGGTGTAAACATGTAACCCGGTGATGTTCCTTCTATATCCCAGGTCACTTAAACCTAGTGTGCCCCAGAGGCGTAGCGACCCTTCCCGGCGCCCGGGGACAAACTTTTCGATTTGCACCCCCCTCCCCCCTCAAGATTTCGATTTGCACCCCCCCCCCCTCAAACTTTAGATTTGCACCCCCACCCCCCTCGACCTTTCAATTTATTTTTCCAACCCATTTTGGCGCCCCCTAAGGTCGGCGCCCGGGGACATATGCCCCCCCCCCTCGCTACGCTACTGGTGTGCCCTATGGACCGCGAGGGTATCTTAGTATTTGCGTATGTTTGTTTGTGTGTATGTCTATCCATTAGCCCGTATGTGCTATTGTGTAGCTGTAACATCCTTACCAAAAGAGGCTTAAGACAGCAAGTGCATAACACCAATGTCTCCCTCACCAGATGACTTAACAGTGCTCGCTGTTGAGGCTTCGCCACCAGAACTTTTCGACGCCGATACGGATACTGGTCAAATTTTAAGAGACACAAAAGTCGAGTTGACATTGAAAAACCCTACTCCCACCAATTCTTTTACTTTTGTCTTCGAAAAAGGAGGTACGTTTTTCAATTCTAAGCTGCTTAAGTTTAGAATTGTTAATTATTTAAAATATATTATTAAAACAAGTTACTGACTGCAGGGTAATAAATATATTTTTTTCTTTAAAGACCACAGTTGTCATAGTTTTTTTTTCAACTTTTGAGAAAAAATAAATTCTGTGTTTGAGATCCTTTGCTGTTCCATTGTGGTATGATTTTAAAAAAACCTTAATATTGAGGGGATCGAGGTGGTTTTACTCTTTCATATAGGGCTGGTAAGTAGGTCACCAACCAGCTCTAAGGCTCAATAAAACCTGCATGAGCCATAGAACTGGTTGGTAACCTACTTACCAGCCCTATTGCTATACGTGATCGATATACACTAGCACTAAATGAATATGGCACTATCTCATAATTTTCAAAAAGTGCACATCTGAGTGTGCTCTTCTTTCGTAGAAAAAAAAAACATCCTATAATAGTCTTGAAAAGTCTGTAATCATGCACATTTTTACACATGAAAACTTTAAAAATAATATGGCTTGCTATAATATTATAGTTACATTTTAAAAACTTAAAGCTATTTGGGAACCATTGATTACAACTCATTTATTATATTTTTGTATTGAATATAAGCTGTTGAAAAGCCGTTTTGAATTTTTTTATCAATTCAAATGCTAAAAAAAAACGACCTCAACCCCTCCTTGAAGTCAACCGGGATATCAAGGGAGAGCAAAACAATAAGTCAGAACAATTGTTTTCCATAATGGGATATCCTAGTAATTTATTTATATTAAATAATATAACATCCCCTATCACCACAGTACCCAGACTCTACTAATCCAAATAAAAATAAAAGTTTTAGCTAAATTATTATTATATTTGCTAGTGATTACTTGTTGGTATATTTCTAGCCTTAATAAAACCGGAAGTTATTGTGTACTTATTACAAAAAGATAAAGTATTCAATTGAGGTTGAAAAAAAATATGCTTTCTGGTAACACAAATTTAAAACCATTTGGAACCAACTTTTCAAACCTATTAGAGATTTCTTTACTATTATTCAAATAAAAAGAAAATTTAATTGAACATTTAAAATGCACTTTATTTTTAAAGCTGATTTAAGTGAAATACAAATTTAAAAATACATTTTATTTTATTTTATTTTTAAAGCTGATTTAAGTGAAATTCAAATTTAAAATATATTTTTATTTTAAAGCTGATCTAAGTGAAATTCAAATTAAAAACTTTTTTTTAAAATCTAATTTAATTGAAATTCAAATTTAAAATATGTTTTTAATTGAACATTTAAAATGCACTTTATTTTTAAAGCTGATTTAAGTGAAATACAAATTTAAAAATACATTTTATTTTATTTTATTTTATTTTTAAAGCTGATTTAAGTGAAATTCAAATTTAAAATATATTTTTATTTTAAAGCTGATTTAAGTGAAATTCAAATTATAAACTTTTTTTAAAAATCTAATTTAAGTGAAATTGAAATTTAAAATATGTTTTTATTTTAAAGCTGATTTAAGTGAAATTCAAATTTAAAATATGTTTTTATTTTAAAGCTGATTTAAGTGAAATTCAAATTTAAAGTATATTTTTATTTTAAAGCTGATTTAATTGAAATTCAAATTATAAACTTTTTTTTAAAAATCTAATTTAAGTGAGATTGAAATTTAAAATATATTTTTATTTTAAAGCTGATTTAAGTGAAAATCAAATTTAAAATATGTTTTTATTTTAAAGCTGATTTAAGTAAAATTCAAATTTATAATATATTTTTATTTTAAAGCTGATTTAATTGAAATTCAAATTAAAAACTTTTTTTAAAAATCTAATTTAAGTGAAATTCAAATTTAAAATATGTTTTTATTTTAAAGCTGATTTAAGTGAAATTCAAATTTAAAATATGTTTTTATTTTAAAACTGATTTAAGTGAAATTCAAATTTAAAATATGTTTTTATTTTAAAGCCGATTTAATTGAAATTCAAATTAAAAACTTTTTTTTAAAATCTAATTTAAGTGAAATTCAAATTTAAAATATGTTTTTTATTTTAAAGCTGATTTAAGTGAAATTCAAATTTAAAATATGTTTTTATTTTAAAGCTGATTTAAGTGAAATTCAAATTTAAAATATGTTTTTTTATTTTAAAGCTGATTTAATTGAAATTCAAATTAAAAACTTTTTTTAAAAAATCTAATTTAAGTGAAATTCAAATTTAAAATATGTTTTTATTTTAAAGCTGATTTAAGTGAAAATCAAATTTAAAATATGTTTTTATTTTAAAGCTGATTTAAGCGAAATCACAGCCAATAAATTTGACATCAAAGTGTGGGACGAAGAGAACAAGGAGATGGTAGCCCTCACGGAGGAGTACACAGTAGCGGCTGAGGATGGTAGTGTGACGGTCCATTGGGAGAGACCGAGAGTCGTGACGAAAATTAAAGTATTGGTCTCCACTGAACAGAAGGCCATGTCGTTTCATTTGGACGGGGGTAAGGTAGTCTGTATGACGTACGTACAACATTGAGACGTTGGACGGAGGTAAGACAGTCTGTATGACGTACGTACAACATAACGGGGGTAAGGCAGTCTGTATGACGTACGTACAACATTGAGACGTTGGACGGAGGTAAGACAGTCTGTATGACGTACGTACAACATAACGCGGGTAAGGCAGTCTGTATGACGTACGTACAACATTGAGACGTTGGACGGAGGTAAGACAGTCTGTATGACGTACGTACAACATTAAGACGTTGGACGGAGGTAAGGCAGTCTGCATGACGTACGTACAACATTAAGACGTTGGACGGAGGTAAGGCAGTCTGTATGACGTACGTACAACATAACGCGGGTAAGGCAGTCTGTATGACGTACGTACAACATTGAGACGTTGGACGGAGGTAAGACAGTCTGTATGACGTACGCACAACATAAGGACGTTTAACCACACGGGGAAAAAAATACTAAAAAATTTGAAAATATCGGGAAAAAAACAAACAATGAAACAATTACCTTTAATGAACCAATTTTTCAAAACTTTATTTGACGAAATAAATGTATACTTAATTTTCTTTTTAGTTATTTTAACAGTAGTACATTAATATATATATATATATATATATATATATATATATATATATATATATATATATATATATATATATATATATATATATATATATATATATATATATATATATATATATATATATATATATATATATATATATATATATATATATATGTTTTTAGACCATAAGTTTTTTGCTTATCTCTTTAACAGACTAAGGGTTTTTAGTGATATTTTCAGTAGCCGGCAGTATGCTTGCTTCTTTTGACCATAAGTAAAGTTAGAACATCAGCACACACATGTGTTATATATCATTGTGTAGGTATTTGATTTGCCTTTAATATCAGAGAAGGGATTTAGGTGTTAACTGTTGGTCTTAGTTTTGTAGCCTAAAATCTGATGCTTTAGTTTTTAAAAAAAACAAAAATTTTTTTTTTTAAATCAACAGTCCCTAAGAAGCAAAAAAATTAATTGATAAGAGCTATAAAGTTAATTTGTATATTTTATTGTACAACAACCATATATGTACAATTATGACAATTTTGAATGCACTGAGTCTAGAAATGGATTTTTCACAAAGCTCTTATGTCCAGCGTCTATACTACTTACTTGAGTAGACTCAGCTCTAATAAGTACCTGAACAATGTTAGGGAAAGTAAATGTGGCTTGGCATAGCGCTGAACAAACTACCCCTTCCTTTGTTAATGTTACAGAAACAGATCAGAGTTTCTTCCAGTCATCTAACTTTTAAGCTGCTTAGAATCAAACACATAAACCAGTGTATTTTTTACCCCAAATTTAAAAAAAAAATACTTAGGAGTATTAATACAACCGAATGATGAACGAAATCACACCAAGGGTCAAGGAGACACGAAATTTCCGTTTTTAAATATCAATGTTGGGTATCCGACCCCCGACCCCCGAGTTGCTACAGTCATCACGGACGGCGATCGACATTCTACCTGTATCGAAAGAGAGGAAGTTGACAACGTAACGATGATTTTCTCAGTCTGTACTCTACTTCAGCGGATCATGATTTACACGCCAGGTATGTTTGCGGTTCTGTGTGGGCCGGGTGTTTGGCTTGGTGTAGGGTGGGGAGAGAAGGTCGAGAAATATTAAAATCGTTTATGTATATATATATATATATATATATATATATATATATATATATATATATATATATATATATATATATATATATATATATATATATATATACATATATATACATATATATACATATATATACATATATATATATACATATATATATATATATATATATATATATATATATATATATATATATATATATATATATATATATATATATATATATATATATATATATACATATCTTCTTCAGGGTGAACCACATCTCACCTGTTAGGTGAGATGTGGTTCACCCTGAATGCTTACAATCGTAGAGCCGGGTCGGCTATTAGGGGTAGGGGCAGTTAATTTAGATTTAAAAAGGGGAGGTAATAACAATTTCTGCCATAACTATTCATTGTCGTCTGTAAACTGTCGTCGAGGACGGCTGCTCTCACGGAGTTCGCGGGAGGGGTGGGGAGGGAGGGTGAGGATAATCGTATTTACCAGCTGCTGATAGTGTTTTAAAGCAAAATATTTTCAGTCGCAGCATTGGCAGTGAATTGTGAATGACTGAAATGTAGCACATAATACAGCTAAGCAGCGGTGTATGCTTACGGCGCGGGTCAGTTCGTATATAATATTTTTAATGGTGGGACAGTGCGGGACACGAAGTATACGCACACCGAGCCTCCCCCTCCCTCGCTCTTCAGGCATGCTCAACAGATCATATCGCCACCACCCCCACCAGTCTGGTGAGCTGTGGTTCACGTCGAATGTTTACAATCGTAGAGCCGTATCGAATTAGTTAATGATACTAGGGGCAGATAATTTAGTTTTTTTTAAACGATTTGAAACTAAGGGGAGGTGATATCAAGTTCTGCTTGATCTTTTCATTGTCGTCTGTAAACTGTAGTCACGGTTGGGGGGGGGGGGGGGAGAAAAGGGAGGGTGAGGATAATTGCCCTTCTCGAGCTACTGATAGTGTTTCAAAGCAAACTATTTTCAGTTGCAGCATTGGTAGTGTCGAATTTAAGAATGACTGAAAAGTAGAAAATAAAACAATTAAATAGCGGCGTTTGATACGCCGCGGGTCACCTCGTTTAAAATAAAACGTCTATAATGTCAAGATAATATATGCACACACAAAAAAGGGACAGCGTGGCCTAAGCGGTAGAGCGCTAGGCTGCTAACCCGAAAATCACGAGTTCGTATCCGGGCTCAAATTAGTACAACGCCCCTGAGTCCACCCAGCTCTGATGGGTACTGAACTCATGCTATTTTAAGTAAAGGCGGCTTTGAAAATTGCTGAACACACCTTCCCTTCAAATGCCGATGTCAAGAAACAGATGAACTCTACTTCATCTGTCAAAAGGATGGCTTAGTCTAAAGAGGACTAAGAGAAAAAATAAAATGACTCTCTTTAAATATATTTAAACATTTCTGTATAGTACAAATTATCACCACAATCTTCACATTTTTGTGTGTGATTGTTTCTCCAACCGCCCACAGTGGTAACCTATTTTTAGCTAGCTCCTGTTTAAGTTACCAGTGGTCAAACATCTTTTCTGTTTAACATTCTTGTGCTCTCCTTTTCTTCTTTTGGATTTTTTTTTTTTTTTTTTTTTTTTTTTTTTTTTTTTTTGGATGTATGACGTTGTCTCTGTGTCAGTGCCCTCGTGGGAATATGAATCGTTTGAACTTGTATTTTGTAGGCTATGGCGATTGGAAACTTGCAGTGTGGTGCTACGATACAGAGGGCACTGAAGTTATGAACACTGAGGTTTCTAGTAGCATAGATCGAATTTACCAGGTCAATGTGAATAAGAATGTGATGAAAGTCTACATAGAAAAACTCTCTGGATCTCTTTTTATGTGCGAGATCGAAGCCTTCGCAAGTTGGTATTTTACACAGTTTGTATTTAAAAGAGCTCCGTAAAACGTTAACTGTTTTTACACAGACGGCGTTAAAGAAAGCGGCAATTTTTTTTTACAAAATTTACGTTATTCTAAATGAATTATCATTTTAAAATTAATTAACTTAATTTGAAATATTGACATAGTTATACAAGAAAATTGTGAATAAGATTTTAAGATTGTATATGGAAAATGAGCTAAGATAATTTAACTTACACAACATAAATAAACATGCATAACCATATAATAAAAATGCAAAAGCATAAATAAACACACACACAAACATATATATATATATATATATATATATATATATATATATATATATATATATATATATATATATATATATATATATATATACAGGAAGACAGACATATTGACTGACGGAAATATGGACATAAGGACATACGAATGTATGGACGTACTGACGGATGAAAAGGCAAAAGGATGGGCTTATCAATGCATAGACTGACGGACAGAGGACACACAGACCGACATACGGACAGAAGGACATACCCACATACTAACAGCAGTACAGACGGACACACGCATATACTGACAGAAAGACCGACCGACAAACACACAGATTCATTTTTTTTATCTCTTGATTTATTTATCTGGCGACTGTGTATGTTGTAGATTCACACGGGCCACTTAAAGACACGGTAGAGGAGAGAGCTGAGATGGGCGCATTCTTCGTCGCTGGGTACTCCGCCCTCATACTCATCTGTTTGATGTTCTCAATGTTGCTCATATGTGTGATGCTGTCTCTCTACATGAGCTGGCGTCGGTCCACCTCGACAGGTATATATTTGACTGGCATTTACTGAGACCTAAGTGCAATGTTTAGTTGACCGTGTCACATGTAAGAATAGTCGTAGGTTGACTTCCGCAGGTAAATATATCACATTTAGTGCTGACCTAAATGTATTGTATAGGTGACCCTGTCACAGATAAGAACAGTCGTAGGTAGAATTCCGCAGGTAAATATTTGACACATTTACTACGGACCTAAGTGCAATGTTTAGTTGACCGTGTCACATGTAAGAATAGTCGTAGGTAGACTTCCATAGGTAAATATTTGACACATTTACTGTTCACCTAAGTGTAATATATAGGTGACCGTGTCACAGGTAAGAACAGTCGTAGATAGAATTCCGCAGGTAAATATTTGACACATTTACTGTTCACCTAAGTGTAATATTTAGGTATCCGTATATTAGGTAAGAACAGTCGTAGGTAGAATTCACCAGGTAAATATTTGACACATTTACTGTTCACCTAAGTGTAATATTTAGGTAAGAACAGTCGTAGGTTGACTTCCGCAGGTAAATATATCACATTTACTGCTGACCTATGTGTAATGTTCAGGTGACCGTGTCACAGGTAAGAACAGCCGTAGGTAGAATTCCGCAGGTAAATATTTGACACATTTACTGTTCACCTAAGTGTAATGTTCAGGTGACCGTGCCATTTACCTACAATTCACCGGAACAAGTCAATTCGACCAGAGGCGTCAAATTGAAAGTTTGTCCCCGGGCGCCGGGAAGGGTCGCTACGCCTCTGAATCCGACACACATCTCTAGATTGTATAGGTTAATATTTAACGTTGGGGTGGTTAGAACTCTCACCCATTCAAGATATTGTTTTGTCTAAAGGATGCAAATAGATCTAGGGAAAGATAGCCCCAGTGTTTCTCTTGGGCATCTCCCCCCCCCCCCCCCCCCCCCAATGAAAAATAATTTATCATATACCTACTTAATATAAAAACCAATACAAAAACATTTAAAGTAACAATATTTAATTGCGCCAGAAACTTTTTTAAAAAAAATTAAATTTACTCCATGTATAGGCCTACATTTTAAAAAACAGCGGCTTTCATTATAGAAATATTAATAATACATTTAAAACTCAAATGTTTAATATTTTATTATTACATCGAACCAGAAACTTTGTATTTTATCGCATTCATCGAATGAACAAAACAAAAGAGATGGTTGTGTCACAGAGCGCACAACAGCTAACCTGAAAGTATCGAGTTCGGATTCCGGAATCGGGATCGACCACCTCTGATGGGTACCTGACTAACGTTAAGTAAACTTAAAGCAATTAGGTATCGGACTTACTGAATTATTGCTTTATATGCCCTGATGATTGAAACAGATACCATCTGCCCCATGTGCCTCGGGCACTAAAGGGGAATAAAATTGATGGTGATTTAAACACTTCATTATAGTCGAAGTTCTAAAACCAAAGATATTTCAGACGTGTAATAATTATAACTATCTTTTTAAAATGAAAATCATATTTGTATTTTTTTTCAGCTAACGAGTGATACAGTTAGTGGAATAGTCTTAGCCGTGGTTGGCGTGGGAAATGAAAAAAATTAGGGCGAAACAAAATTTCATTTATCCTAGAACAATCTTGTTTCTACATTGCATTTGTTTATTCATTATGTTTATATTTTGTTTCAAAATGGTTGTTATGAACCCGTTTTTAATTTATTTTTATAGTTTTAGTATATTTCTATAAATGAAGAAGTATTTTTTTCAAAATGATTGATTATTTTTAATTTGAAAACTAAGTGCCATGAATTTGATTTTCATGCTAATATCAATGAAGATTAATCATTTTATTTATTTTTTAAGGAAAAGAAATATAATTTAACCAAATTATATTGCATTATATGTTTATGGTTTGTTAATATAATGCATGTTATTTAATTTAATTAAGCCTTACAATAAAAGAAAAAGAGAATTCACTGATGTGTGTAGCTTTCTTCGTTTCTTTTTCGTTCTTAAAATTTAATAAACTAGTTCTTCACCAACACAAAAAATTTTTTCTTCTTCTTCTTCGTTCTTAATGTTAGTGTTGTAAAGGATCCCCTACCAACACAATTAAAAATACGTGTCAAATGGTCATGGGAACGAAGTGGTCCAGCGGTAGAGAGCTGGACTGCTAACAATTAAGTCAATAGCCGTCCCTGAGTCCGCCCAACTCTGATGGGTACCTAAATGACGTTAGGGAAAGTAAAGGCGGCTGGGCATAGTGCTGACCACACTATATCTTCATATGCCGAGATAACAGAAACAAGTGAACTCTACTTCACTTGCCCTATAGACCGTCAAGTTAGAAAGGGAACTTTAAGAAAATAAGTCAACTGGTTATACGCCATTAAGGCCATTGACTCCGATTTCAGCTTGCTTTTCTTTTTGGATTTGCTTCCATAGCCTTTGTCCAACCAAGAACAAACTACAAAGCAGCAGTTGTTTGATTTTGGAGTTCGAGACTTTTCAGTTTAGCAACCATGAGCTTTACCGACTCGACCACGCTGACCCAACAGGTCTACGTAACCTTACTAAATTTAAAGAAAAAGGTTATTTTAAAATAATATGGCAAGCGATAGAATTATAGTTACATTTTTAATAATTAAAACCGTTTGGAAATCATCGATTACACTCATTTTTAAAATTATGTATATTTAAGTCTTTGAAAAGCCTTTTAGAATTATTTTATCAATTAGAATATTTTTAAAAACCGCCCTTAAAGTCAACCGGTGTGGCCAGAGAAAGTAAAACAATGAAAGTCAGAACAATAGTTTTCTATAATAAAAATACACAATAGTGATCTATAGTGCATAGCGTAGTATTGTATTTATATTAAATAATATAACATCCCCAATCACCACAACACCTTGAATCTACTAATCCAAACTAAAAATAAAATTGTTAGAAAAAATTATTATAATACTAGTAATTATTTGTTTGAATATCTCTTTCCTTAATAAAACCGGAAGTAATTTTGTACATATTTTACAAATGTAAAATATTCAATTTTGGTTAAAAATATGTTTTCTGGCAACAACCATTTGGTACCATCACAATCAAGTACTTAATTAATCAATCTTATAATTAAGACGTTAATTGCTATGAATCAAGTCAAGTTAATTTTGACGGGGTTTTCTTTCTGGATTTGCTTTCATAGTCTTTGTCCTCCCTCCCCCCCCCCCGTCTAGAACACAATACAAAGTAGATGTTTGATTTTGGAGTTGTCTCTCCCAGAGGGGTGGGTAACTGTCCCTATCTATCGAACCTCCGCTCTCAAGGGTTTCGAACTCGGAAGCATGATCGTCCATGAGCATGACCGATCCGACCAAGTCGACTCATTTGTGTCTTAAGTTAATTAGGGTCTAATTACTTCAACGTTAGAATTTATTGATTTAAATGTCAATGACGTATTCATTCAGACTAAAAGAAATAAGATAAGAATCACAGATTAAACATGAATGTTTAATTATTTAAACTAAAAAAAGACTAACCTCATAGTTATTTTTGTTCCATGCAAACAAAGATTAAAGAATGAAAAAAAATTTCAATTATTATATAAATATAATATGAATATAATAAAATCTCACACTGGAAAAGCAGTCAATATTAATTTAAAAAGGCAATATTTCTTTTTAAACCATCATAGTTATTTTTGTTCCATGCAAACAAAGATTAAAGAGTGAAAAAAATGTCAATTATAATATGATTATAATATGAATATAATAAAATCTCACACTGGAAAAGCAGTCAATATTAATTAAAAAAGGCAATATTTCTTTTTAAACCATCATAGTTATTTTTGTTCTATGCAATTAAAGATTAAAGAATGAAAAAATTTCAATTATTATATGATTATAATGTGATTATAATAAAATCTCACACTGGACAAGCAGTCAATATTAATTTTAAAAAACAAGGCAATATTTCCTTTTAAACCATCATAGTTATTTTTGTTCTATGCAATCAAAGATTAAAGAATGAAAAAAATTTCAATCATTATATGATTATAATGTGATTATAATAAAATCTCACACTGGACAAGCAGTCAATATTAATTTAAAAAAACAAGGCAATATTTCCTTTTAAACCATTATAGTTATTTTTGTTCCATGCAAACAAAGATTAAAGAATGAAAAATTTTCAATTATTATATGAATATAATATGAATATAACAAAATCTCACACTGGTCAAGCAGTCAAATCAATATTAATTAAAAGAAAGACAATAATTATTTTTAAACAAAAGAAAAGAAAACCAGACACTAATTTAAAAACAATTTTAAAAATAGCAATGTTGCTTATTCATATCACATGTGTCAAATATCCTACGTTGTAAAATAAACGAGGTAAAATAAACATGCAACAAATTTAAATGAAGATATAATATCGTCCCGTTGAAGATGAAAATATACTGAGTCTTTTTTCCATTCCAATGCCAACCATGTTGCAAAGCGATCATTTCTCCTCTTGAATAGATGGAGAAAAAAGAGGATTTCAACTATGTTAAAACAGAGTTAATGCTTTGTGGCTATTGTTTAATTACTACAACAGAATACGTTCAATAGACGTTTTACGAAGCATGTAAACATAAAGGTAAACATACACTTACAATACACTTAAATGCACACATACACATATTTCCGGAAATACAAAAAAAAATGAAAACTTATAATTAGAAGTGACAAAATTGAGTTTCTAGGCATTAATTTAAGTTGAAGTACAAAGAAATTAAATCAAAAAAATATTGCACGATGATGATTAAGTTTGTTTTACTATATGCATTTCAGTTACAAACATACAATAAATTATGCTCGTCATTTTGAGCCATGCAGTATCAATATATGTATATATATATATATATATATATATATATATATATATATATATATATATATATATATATATATATATATATATATATATATATATATATATATATATCTGTGTGTGTGTTTGTGTGTAGATGTGTGTGTGTATGTGCAAGTTTGTTTTAAGCACCGTAGCGCATAATCCACAATCAAACATACCTTGCGATATAGGGGGATGTTTTTCATGTTTCCGTAGCAGGGCGAAGATTGTACAAATGATGCAACAGGCGAAGAGGAGCAACAGCAACAAAATATAGATGAGGCTGGAGCTGGAGGCTTCCTCCGCGATCGCCTTCGACTGGGTGTCTTCCTTCAACGGACCATTGGGATCTGTTTCACACAGGATTTAGAGGTGGTAATGTTTGGTTATATGTGTGTCGACACGTGTAAATAGCTATGTCTATGTCTTTGTCTATACAACTTTGTTAAACATCTATGATAATACGTCTGTCTATATGTCTACATGTCTTTATCTATATCATTACATATATATATATATGTATACATATATATATATATACATTATATATATACATTATATATCTATACATTATATATATACATTATAAATATACATTATAAACATATACATTATATATACATGTGTAGATGCATTATATATATTAATATACATGTCTATATTTTTATCTTACATACATATATATATATATATATATATATATATATATATATATATATATATATATATATATATACATATATATATATATATATATACATATATATATACATATATATATATATACACATATATATATATATATATATATATATATATATATATATATATATATATATATATATATATATATATATATATGGTATTTATCCATCAGTATAAATCGTTATTTGTTTGAATTTTTTTCCAATTACAAATTAATAGCTTTAAATGCTACTCCCTATTCTTCGGTCTTCAGATTTTTTCTCCAAATAACTTCATTATTCCATTATATAATATGCTTTGCTACATTTTTTTTATAAATTTCGAATGTTCTTTTAAATCTACGATTGTATACTGAGTCCTAGTTCAGGTTCTGTAACACCCGTTGTATAAGATTACCTGCGTAGGCTTGTACTTCGCAGAAATATATCGACCCGGATACAATTTTTATCGTGACCTTGAGCACGTTCTTATTGATGTTGACCTGGTGAATTCGAGTTTTTTCGGCACTTGCAACCTCGGTCTTCAAGACTTCCACACCGGCGTTATTGTAGCACAACACTTGAGCTTTCCACTCTTTGCTATTGCCTGCCAGAAAGTCATTTCAAGGCACGAATTAGATAAGTACAAAAATTGTCAGACAGTCGCTTTAGGAAACGTAAAAAACAAGAGAGCCCACGTTCGTGGGCCATTAAAACTTGCCTTAATAGACCGAGACACAGAAAACCATGTCTCGGATAAAAACAGATGCATTCATCTATCAGTTCATATCTCAAACAATATATCAACAGCATACGTTTTCTGACAGTTCCGTCTACACACACTCACACACACACACTTACATATATATATATATATATATATATATATATATATATATATATATATATATATATATATATATATATATATATATATATATATATATATATAATATATGCCTATATATATATATATATATATATGTATATATGTATATATATATATATATATATATATATATATATATATATATATATATATATATATATATATATATATATAGACAGGACTGTCAGAAAAGGTACGTTGAGAATAATTCACACATTTTAAAATAGAAAAATATTGTCTTGTAACGAGAAATGTCTTAATGATATAAAAATATCAAATTAATTAAACATATACAACTCAGTTATTGACGTAAGTTAAGTTCATATATATATATATATATATATATATATATATATATATATATATATATATATATATATATATATATATTTAACTTTAAAAATGATTTATTACTTAAATAAAATGATTACATTTTTTTCTTTCTTTTGAGTACAAGTGCATCTAGCTATAAACGTTTGTTTTTATATTAAAAAAAAATAATTCTATCAATCAGTAAGTCATTTTGTCCGGCACGCCAAGCCTCGAAGCCCCAAAGTACCTGGTGTAAACAACAAGATCCGCTGAAGGAAGGTGTAGGATGCGAAATTCATGAACATGTCTTTGGCTTCGTCAGTCTGAACGCAGGTGGCCGATCGATCATTGTCAGTGAGGTCAGCAGCTAGTTTGGGGAAGGGGGTCGGGTGACCGACTTGTAGGGAGAACAACGGAGTTTTGGGGTCCCCTGGCTTCTGCTTATCGTCTGAAGTCGACTCTACCTGAATTCCTGATGGGAAAATCAAAATCTTTTAGTGCCCATTCCCCACCTAGATTTTGTGGGTTTTTTTCTTTCTCGTATATACGAAGTATAGAGAAAGTTCTGTAATCGTGCAAAAATAAAAAAAAATCGAGATTTTTACAAATCTCGACGTTTTACACCTCACTGATACGGAAAAATATAATGTTGCAATCTTGTCCGTATGTCTGTGTGTGTGTGTGTGTGTCTGTCTGTGTGTAAACACGATAACTTGAGTACCGTTACAGCTGGGTTGATGAAATTTCATATATAAAAAACCGCATGTAAATTTATAAAGTACTAATAATATTGAGATTCTATTATATTTTTAAAAGTTTAAGTAATTAAAAATCATGTCTATATTCCAAGTTATATAAGAATATTCGAGGAAGTTTTGGGGATCTCACTCCCGGTTTAATTTTAGTGTAGTACTTCTTGGTCTGTCGTAAAAATCTCTTTTAGGAGAAACTGTATTGCTAATAAGTCATGTCCACATACGTTTGCGTTTGATGGTATTGATACCGATACTAAATCCTATACCAATACTGTGTAATACGTACATATATCTATGCCTATGCTTTTGCATATGCCCATGCCCACGCCAAAATTTCACGCCCATGCCCATGTGTATGCCCTTGCCCGTGCTCATGCATATGCCCATGCCTATAAAAATAGCTGGCCCCGCATCTGTACCTATACTTAAACCTAGAAACATCTTGCAAACACGTGACAAAAGCATATGATACCGACATGCGCCGCCATGATAGTGTACTTCAGCGGTCTCATAGCTTATTTTAAAAGACCTTCAGCAGTTTTGGGAAAAACTTGAAAATTTCTAGCGGTCTTACCTTCGTGCAACGTCTTTATTTTGTACGTAACTCATGTAGACTGCCTTACCTCCGTCCAACGTCTTTATGTTGTACGTACGTCATACAGACTGTTTTAATTCCGTTGATTTACGTACGTCATACAGACTGCCGTACCTCCATGGTATTGTACGTACGTCACACATACACCAGTTGCGTAGCCAGGATCGTTCTCAAGGGGGGGGGGGGGGAGTTCCAATTTTTACCCGGGGACAAACTTCCGATTTCCATCTCCCCTAAAACTTTCGATTTGCAGCCCCCCCCCCCACTCAAACTTTCGATTTGCACCCCACCCCCTCAAACTTTCGAATTGCACCCCCCCTCAAACTTTCGATTTGCAGCCCCCCCCCCCTCAAACTTTCGATTTGCACCCCACCCCCTCAAACTTTCGAATTGCACCCCCCTCAAACTTTCGATTTGCAGCAGCCCCCTTCATACTTTATATATATATATATATACCGAGGGGTCTATGGGGGGGGGGGGGGTTATGACCTTGATCCCCCCTGCCTACGCCACTGACATAGACTCTTACCTCCGCTCAAATGAAACGACGTAGCCTTTTGGTCTGTAGCGATAGTTACTTCCATCTTGTTCACGACCCTCGGTTTCTCCCAGGAAACGGTCAGCGTGTTATCATTATTGATCACCACGGTGTAATCTTCCGTCAGCGCCACCATCGCCTTCAAGTTCTCATCCCATACTTGTATGTCAAATTTGTCTTTTGAGATTTTACTTAAATCAGCTATAAAGGAAAATAAGTAAATAATTTTTTAGCTTTAACTAAAAAAAAAAATCTCTAATCTTTCTTAACTCGTGAATCAAGTAACAAAAAAAAAAGATTTTTTAAAATTTGTATAAGGCAATCTGTTGAACTTGTTTGAAGGCATATTAACAATAACTTGTCTTGATAAATATTATTCTCAAATCAACCCAATGTTTACAAGTGTGTGCATTTTGATACATTTGTTCCAGACCATACATCACAAATTGCATCACGTGTATTTCGGCTATGAGTACGTATCCATCGATACAAAATGATTTTTAATACTTTTTATGTTATTATTTAGACGATAATTTTAAGGATTTACTAATTTGTTATTCCTATTATTTTTTTTATTTCAAACTATGTTCGATAGGACTCGTTTGACAGATCTTCCAGTTCGAAAATATGAATGTTTTTATCCATTTCTTTATGTACGGGGCCATTTACAAATCAGTTACAAAGAAAGAAAAATCAAAATACGAATAAATAGCCGTGATTTTTAAAATGAATTATTTAAGACAAAAGTTAGTTTAGGTATTAAATAAATTAATATGTTTATTTCATTTAAATATTTTTGGAATAACACCTTGTATTTACTGACCCAGTTAATTTTCGTAACATTTTGCGAATTTTTAATTTGATGTTTGAAAGATATCACTAAGCTAACCTCATATTCCTACATGTGTCTATAAATCTCGACATTCTTAAGCAGCCCCCCCCCCACCTTAACGAAAAATATCAAATCTGGCATAGACGTCATAAATGAATGTCTCAAAGGGTTTTGTTGTGTATTTTGCAGAGCAGCCCACAGACCTTTCTCCAACGGTAAACTGGGTCGTCTAGTAACATATAAAAATTAATGACACTTTTGATAACTGAAAAACTTACATCCGTCTTCAAAGGCAATTGTAAAAGAGTTCGTGGAGGAAGGATGTATCAATTTCAATGCGACTTTTACATCGCTTAAAACCTCGCCAGTGTTCTTGTCAGCGTCAAAAAGCACTGGTGGGCTTAACTCTACAGCGTGGATTGTTAGATCCTCTGAGGAAAAAAAGTTCTATTATGAAACTCTACAGCGTACACTGTTAGATCCTCTAAGGAAAATGTTCTATTATCAAACTCTACAGCGTGGATTGTTAGATCCTCTAAGGAAAAAAGTTCTATTATGAAACTCTATAGCGTACACTGTTAGATCCTCTAAGGAAAAAAATCTATTATGAAACTATATCGTACAATGTTAGATCCTCTAAGGAAAAAAAGTTCTATTATGAAACTCTATAGCGTACACTGTTAGATCCTCTAAGGAAAAAAAATCTATTATGAAACTATATCGTACAATGTTAGATCCTCTAAGGAAAAATCTATTGTCAAACTCTACAGCGTACACTGTTAGATCATCTATGGAAAAATAGTTCTATTATGAACCTCTATAGCGTACACTGTTAGATCCTCTAAGGAAAATGTTCTATTATCAAACTCTACAGCGTACACTGTTAGATCCTCTAAGGAAAATGTTCTATTATCAAACTCTATAGCGTACACTGTTAGATCCTCTAAGGAAAATGTTCTATTATCAAACTCTACAGCGTACACTGCTAGATCCTCTAAGGAAAAAAGTTCTATTATCGAACTCTATAGCGTACACTGTTAGATCATCTAAGAAAAAAGTTCTATTATGAAACTCTATAGCGTACATTAATAGATCATCTCAGGATTATACAATGCTATTATAAGCTTCGATAGTACACGGTCAGATCATCTATGGAAAAATAGTTCTGTTATGAACTTCGATAGCATACACTGTTAGATCTTCTAATGGAAAACAATGCTATTATGAACGATAGCGTACACTCTCTAAGGCAGGGGTCTCCAAACGTGTCGGTCCGAGGGCCGCATTAACTATCACATGTCAGTTCGGGGGCCAGTTTCTTCCAGGCATGTCTTTGATTTTTCTAAGCAAAGTTCTTTAGCCATTACCAAGAAACGCCTTTTCCTTGGACAAAAAAATCTCTGCGGGCCGGATGATAGGACTTCGCGGGCCGCATCCCGCCTGCGGGCCGTAGTTTGGAGACCCCTGCTCTAAGGGAAACTAATACTTTTCTGGACTTTAACATTACATGTACGTTCTTAATACTAATGTTGGAAGAGATTCCCTCCAACACAAAATAAGTACTACGTGTCAACATGTAATGCGCCATATAGGCCGTTGACTCCGATTTCAGCCTGCTTTTCTTTTTGGATTTTTTTTTCCATTCAAGAACAAACTACGAGGCCGCAGTTGTCTCTTTTAGAAGAAGAGCTGCGCTTCCCAACTGTCGAGCCTCATCTGCCCGAAGGTTTGAACTCGAGATTTTAGCGGTTTAGCTGTCATGAGCTTAATGGACGCGAACTAACCGACCATGACGTTGATTGTTAAGACTGTACGAGGCACTGAGCTAGGACAACAGATTGCCCAGAATTCATAACACAGTATGCAGATTACTATATTAGCGCTCGTAAGTATGTCACTAAATTGTCATGCTTATACTTGCCAGGAGGTATTTTTCAAAACCAAACGTTAATTGTTTTATTAGATCGGTAATTTTTTTTTTATTTAGTAAAGTTACTTCCGCTAATGTTGTTTTAAAATCGTAAACAATGATAATGGAAGACTTCAAGCTGTAGGCTTGTAGATAAATATAGACTATGTTAAATTGTGATTTTTCTTTTCAAATGAAAGTACAGTTGGTAATTATTTGAATCTGTAATAAAAATAATTGTCCTAAACGTAGTCATTATAATGGTTTAATATTGATAGCCTAGGCCTACTGGTACTTAATTTGATTCTATTATTTATAAAATAATGTTGCATTTTGGGTACTCAAGGTATTTTAAAATCTTGAAGCAAGGCCTAGAAACAGATAGCCACCGTGTTTTTTATGAATGAGTATAATGTTCAAAACAAACGAATTTAGTATGAATATATATATATATATATATATATATATATATATATATATATATATATATATATATATATATATATATATATATATATATATATATATATATATACATATATCTTTCCCTGGCTAAGGAGATTTCAAATTTTAAGCGAGAAACCGAAATTTACAAACCCTATTATACTAATTATTTTGCCATCGTCACCCTATTACCATAATTACAGTAATTATTTTGCCGGCTCACCGTATAACCATAATTACAGTAATTATTTAGCCAGGTCACCATATTACCATATTTACAGAAATTCTCTTACCAAGTTTACAGCCTTCTCCGAAGAATCCAATTTTGCACTGAGTGTTAGTGCAAGTTCCGTCTATTCGACAATGTGAGGTACAGGTACATTGTTCAGTACAATCGGACCCGTAGAATTTAGTGCCACAGACTGTACACAATTACAAACGAGAAACAAAAAATGTGATTTTAAAATTTTTGCAGGTAAAATCCTATGAAAACTATGGATATGGTTTTATTTAAAAAATTACTTGGGATTTTTAAATGAACACAAGGATGGTTAGCCTGAGAATTTATGAATACTGGGTGTAAAGCGTGCTAAAATAGGAGCGCTTGGTTTTTACAATGGTGGTCATTTTAAAAAATGCACTTATAAGTATGTTTATAACACATTAGCAATGGCGGAAAGTAATTTTTTTTTTAAATTCTAAGTTCATTGTCTGTTTATTACTATTGTTGATTTACGTTAATTAGAAAAACGAGTACTGGATTTTTTTTATTACTGGTTATACATTCTTTGGATTGTATTTTTTCACAACAGAAATTTTAAATAAATTGTTGAGAGATTTGCCAGGAATTGCTGAATTGTCAAGACGCGTGTTGTTTTCTTTACTATGTTGTAACAAACAAAATGAACGGAGACAGAACAAACGTCATTTCGTTCTGCCCCCTGTACACACAAACAAACATTGAAATATTTTGTCTCAGCTAAGTTCTTCTTTCTCTTCTTCGGCCTTAATTTTTGTTTTGGAAGAGATCCCCTCCAACACAGTTAAGTATACGTGTCAACCGGTTATGCGCCATTGACGTCATTGACTCCGATTTCAGCCTGCTTTACTGCTTGGATTTGTCCAACCAAGAACAAACTACAAAGCAGCAGTTGTTTGATTTTGGAGTTGTCTCTCCTAGAATAGCTGCTGTCACCAAGATTCGAACTCGGGACATTTTGGTTTAGCAAACATCAGCTTTACCGACTAGACCACGCCCACCCCTGTTAAACTATATTGTCTTCAATCTGGATTGATTGTTACAAACATCGCATATACTTTGTCATAAAACACCATACATATGGGGTTTTCTTAGCTGAGTGAAAAAAATAATTATTGCTGACTGTGTTACAATTATTATAGCCGATAACGTTGTTAGCTTTTGTGGTTTCTAGAAACCTAACAGCTGCCCGTTTTTTAAACTATTTAAAACATTTAACTTTAGAAAAATAAGATAAATAAGAATATACTTTCTCATAAAACAACATACATCGGGGGAACACAACATATTGGGTTTCTTAGCTAAGCAAAAAAAAAACAAAAAAAAAACATCGCTGACTTATGTTAAACTCATTGTAGCCGACAACTGTGCTCGCTTTTGTGGGTTGTGAAATAGGCCTAGTCGTTTTCTCCGTCGTGACAGGGGTTTCTCCTGCTGGTGTTGGTGCTTCCGTTGCGTCTTCAAACGACTCACGAATATTTATGTCAAATATCTCAGGCTGCATACAAGAAAAAAATCACAGGTTCAAAATACTAGTGACGTATGTGTACATCGGTCTACGAAAAACGTGCGAATAGACACATGTTTGAAAGCCGTTTTTCCCATATATATATATATATATATATATATATATATATATATATATATATATATATATATATGACTAAATAGAATAGTAGGGCAATGCAGTTAGAAGTATAAGCATAATTTTTAAAATAAATACTCGGAGGCATTTTAGAATTATTTTTGTTCTTATTCGTTAAGACAAAATCTAAATTTTATTATACGAGCCGACCCGCTGCGTATCATACGCCGCTATTTAGTTTGGTTTTTTTTTCTACTTTTCAGTAGTTTATAATTTGTGAATTCGACAGTACCAATGCTGCCACTGAAAATATTTGCTTAAAAACACTAACCCCCCCCCCTCCCCCCTCCCCCCACGTGAAAGCAGCCTCCTCTTAGTTACCTCTTCTAAGTTTAAAATCGTTTCAAACTAAATTATCTGCCCCTTATAGCCGTCACCAAACCCAGCTCTATGATTGTAAAATGTAAACAGCGTGACCTTAGCTCACCAGACAATGTGGGGGTGGGGTGGGGGTGGTAGTGATAGTGATAGAGAGAAAGAGAGGGGACTGTAAGGAGGCGCTTGCAGCTTGTTTTCTAACGGCTCCCAGAAGAGAATTATATATATAGATATGTTCCTATATGTTCATGTGTTGGGTGAGAGGAAAATACTTGGGAAATTCATTTCATGTTCAGATCGTTGTTCATTTGTACCATGGCAAAAATCCCTATTTAATAGTGCAGAAATATTTGAAAGAAACCCACAAATTTACAACTTACATATAGCTTTCATTGTACAAAAATATTAGAATGAAATCAATGAACATAAAACTGACGTCTAATAATTTTTTGATGGTACAGAAGTATATGAAAGAAACCCACCCATTTTATTACTTGCATTTAATAGTTTTGATTGTACAGAAATATTAAAAGAAAATCAACCAACATAAACTTACATCTAATAACTCTGAAAGTCCGAAACTTGAGAGACTATACATCAAGTCATGGGTGTCGCCGCCTTGAATGAAGATGGTTATATTCTTTGATGAAGTAATCTTAACCGGCTCGGCAGCGATCCGCACCTCCCCTGTATATATGTTGTCAGCCAAAAATAACGGAACTACATTTCTGTGGAGATATTAATCCCAATGACTACAAAGCAAATATCTAGCGCTTAACCTTACAAAACTGTAAAAGGCAGAATACATTTATTATGCTGAATTCAGCGACACCATTTTTAATACAAATTTCAAAGAGTAAAAATTAGAAAACCGCCCCTTTCTTAACGTTTTGAAACGTGAATACTATGCCTTAAATATATGGTGAGATAACATTCTAATCTTAATTTTTATAATTCATAAAATTATATATATATATATATATATATATATATATATATATATATATATATATATATATATATATATATATATATATATGCGTTGTCATCTTGAAATTTCAAAAGAAATATAACTAGGTCTGTCGTTAAATCCTCTCAACATACGAATACACAAAGGTTCCTTGATAATGTAATAGTTGTGATACATAACACAGAATCTACCCCCCCCCCCCCCCCAATAACTTACGGCAAGGCCAAAGGTTGTCCATTTAGATGGAGATCTGCCAAGGCTTCCCTAGAACCAGTCACGGTGACATTGATTTCTGTAATATCTTTGTGATAAGGATTCCTACGGAATAAAAATGTGTTTTACACTGCACCTAGTCAAAAAAAAACAGTTTTGAAAATTTATTTTCATTTATCTATCTGAAACAGTACTCAAGTTATAGGCTTTTGAAGTCCCACTTTTGGTTATCGGAAATAGCAGAAAAGTTGACACAGAACTTCACATTTGATATAATACTTACATATGAATTTTCATAAATCTAGCTGTAGTGGTACAGACACACTCATTTACGTGCACACTAACATAGCCTGCATACGGACAAAATTGCAAAACTATGTTTTTTCGACTGTGGGACGTTTAAAACGTCGAGATTTATGTTTATCTCGATTTCGATTTATTGCACGGTTACAATACTTCCTCTAAACTTTGTGTACCAGAAAGTAAAAATGGTAAAACTTTATCGTCAATCGATAACATCGATACAGTTTTTTTAAATATATATTTTTACAAATATTGTTTAATTTAAAGTTATAATTTTCATAATACGGTTTGATATTTAATAATCAAAGAAATGTGTTATATACTTCATTTGCTTTACACAAAATAGGCAACTGAATATTTTAAAAAAATCAAAATGTTTTAATTTACTTCAAACAGCTTGTTACTTAATAATCAAATAATTTGTCATTGACTCATTTTGATTTACAAAGACAATGATTGACACCATTAATGAGACCGCTAAGCAAATCCCGATCCACTGGTCATCACAATATTTAAACGCCACTAAACTACCTGAAACAACAACATCACTACACCCAACAACATCACAAACCCAACAACATCACTCACCAAACAACATCACACACATAAAAACATCACACACGTAACAAAATGAAACACAACACCACCCACCCAACAACACCACACACCCAACAATATCACTCACCAAACAACATGAACCACAACACCACACACCCAACTACATCAAACACCCAAAATCATCACACACGTAACAACATGAACCACAACACCACACACCCAACAACATCACACACCCAACAACATCACAACCTAACAACATCATACACCTGACAACATGAACAACAACATCACACACCCAACAACATAACACACCCAACAACATCACACACCCAGAAACATCACACACCCAACACCATCACACACCCAACAACATGAACCACAACACCACACACCCAACAACATCACACACCCAACAACATGAACCACAACACCACACACCCAACAACATCACACCCAACAAGTATCACACACCTAACAACATCATACACCCAACAACATGAACAACAACATCACACACCCAACAACATCACTCACCCAACAACATGAACAACAACATCACACACCCAACAACATAACACACCTAACGACATCACACATCCAACAACATAAACCACATCATCACACACACAACAACATCACACACCCAGAAACATCACACACCCAACACCACCACTCACCCAACAACATGAACCACATCATCACACACCCAACAACATCACACACCCAACAATATGAACCACAACATCACACCCAACAAGTATCACACACCTAACAACATCATACACCCAACAACATGAACAACAACATCACACACCCAAAAACATCACTCACCCAACAACATGAACACATCATAACACATCCAAAAACATCACACACCCAACAACATGAACCACAACATCATACACCCAACAACATCACACACCCAACAACATGAACAACAACATCACACACCCAACATCACTCACCCAACAACACGAACCACAACATCACACATCCAACAACATCACACACCCAACAACATGAACCTCATCATCACACACCCAACAACATCACACACCCAGAAACATCACACACCCAACACCATCACTCACCCAACAACATGAACCACATCATTACACACCCAACAACATCACACACCCAACAACATGAACCACAACATCACACCCAACAACATCACACACCCAACAACATCACACACCCAACAACATCACACACCCAACAACATGAACCACAACATCACACCCAACAACATCACACACCCAACAACATCACACACCCAACAACATCACACACCCAACAACATGAACCACAACATCACACCCAACAACATCACACACCCAACAACATCACACACCCAACAACATGAACCACAACATCACACCCAACAACATCACACACCCAACAACATCACACACCCAACAACATCACACACCCAACAACATGAACCACAACATCACACCCAACAACATCACACACCCAACAACATCACACACCCAACAACATGAACCACAACATCACACACCCAACAACATCACACACCTAACAACATCACACACCCAACAACATCACACACCCAACAACATCACACACCCAACAACATCACACACCCAACAACATCACACACCCAACAACATAACACACCCAACAACATCACACACCTAACAACATCACACACCCAACAACATCACACACCTAACAACATCACACACCCAACAACATAACACACCCAACAACATCACACACCCAACAACATCACACACCCAACAACATGAACCACATCATTACACACCCAACAACATCACACACCCAACAACATGAACCACAACATCACACCCAACAACATCACACACCCAACAACATCACACACCCAACAACATGAACCACAACATCACACACCCAACAACATCACACACCTAACAACATCACACACCCAACAACATCACACACCCAACAACATCACACACCCAACAACATCACACACCCAACAACATCACACACCCAACAACATAACACACCCAACAACATCACACACCTAACAACATCACACACCCAACAACATCACACACCTAACAACATCACACACCCAACAACATAACACACCCAACAACATCACACACCCAACAACATCACACACCCAACAACATGAACCACATCATTACACACTCAACAACATCACACACCCAACAACATCACACACCCAACAACATCACAAACAAACTAGATAACAAACTTACAGAATTACATGGGCAGGCTTGAAATTTTGTACACTCTCAAGTTGAAAGTACTCGGATTTTGTATAATCAATAGCGTAAACTTCAATCTTAAATGTTGAATCCAACTTCGCCATGTTTATAAACTGAAAAAGTTGTTTTTTCTTAGCTAAAATAAGTCAGAAATATATTAAATAAAACAGTCGAACGCCCACAAAAAAACAAAACAATATAGCGTTAATGCAAAAAAATAAACCGGGAGTGATCTCCCTTTTACTTTCTCGAATATTCTTATATAACATTAAGGGGAATGGCTACTCAGGATATAAAAAATATTTTAAATCCATTTTAAATTACTCAAACTTTTAAAAATAGAATAGAATCTCGTAGAAAGAAGAAATGCAAACCAAGTGAACGCCAAACAAAATGTGTATAAAAGTGCGGAATAGTATTAGTACTTCATAAATTCACATGCGTTTTTGAGAAATCGGAAATACCGTAAATTACTATTACCGGACGATGGAAATCTCTCAAAATTTGACATAAGACTTAGAATTAGATATTTTACTCTCATGTGAAATATCATTTATCTATCTGCAATAGTACTCATGTTAAAGGCTTTTGAATTATTGAAAGTAGAATAAGTTCCACTTCCAGTTATCGGAAATCGCTGAAAAGTTGAAACAAAACTACCGATTTGATATAATACTTATATATGAAATTTTATCAATCTAGTTGTAACGGTACTTAAGTTATCGTGTTTACAGACATAGAGAGAGAGGGGGGGGGAGAGAGAGGGGAGAGAGAGAGAGAGAGAGAGAGAGAGAGAGAGAGAGAGAGATACGGACAAAATTGCAAAACTATGTTTTTTCGACTCACGGAGGGGTAAAACATCGAGATATTTGAAAAATCTCGATTTTTTTTGCACGATTACAATACTTCCTCTATACTTCGTATACGAGAAAGTAAAAATGGTAGATCAGTTGCGCTTAATTGCTAAACTTTCTGGCATACAGAGTACAGAGGAAATAATGTAATAGTGCACAAATCTTGAATGAAATTTTAATACTTTTGGCCGTTTTACATTTCCCCACTATATCGTATACGGAATATAAAGACTGCATTGTAATTGTGCAAAAATCTAAACTGCGAATTTGACAAATTTTGAAGACGAAAAAAAAATAGTTTAGCAACCTGTGCGTGTCTTTAAACGAGATGAAGTGATTACCGTTTCAGTTTTCTTGACTAAATTTCACGCATAATATACAATTTTCAATTTTCTTGACTAAATTTCAAGGGATAACATACAATTTTCAGTTTTCTTTCTACTTTTGAGTTATTTCTGGTGAACGGAAGTGATTCGAATTCGACTTCGAGTCTCTCAATATCTGATAACTTTAGTACCATTAAAGCTAGATAGACAAAATTGATAATTATAAGTATTAGATTATATGCAAAAGTTCCATTCAACGTTTGTACGATTCCCGGTAACCGGAACACTATAACTTGAACACTGTTTCAATTTGATAAAAGCAATTTCATATGTATGTATAAGATTTCATACTTGGGTTACTGTCGTATTTTAAGCTCTGATATCCGGAATTGTACTTTACTCTTTTTACTGCTTCTAATATGTAGATAAAAATTATATTGTTGCAGTTAAATGAACGAAATTTTATAAACAGGTCTAACATATTATTCTATTGAATTTCCAGTGATTTTCGCTTATCGTAACGATTATTTTACAATGTTAAAAAATATCACTTCTGCCGGTCAAGACTTGATTAAAATACACGTTGACACAAAATGTGACTTAACTACAAGCTTAATTTATAATATAATTCAAGTTTTTTTTTTTTAAGTTACTCATTTTTAGCTCAGACGAGCACAACATTTTTGTATTCGTTTTTATGCGAAATTCTTTTTTTTTCTTCTCGATTTTATTTTAATTTTTGTTTTAAATTAAGTATTAAAACGTGTATATCCAGATTGCACTAAAATGTCATCCCGCTTACTATTATATAAGAATGTACAACAAAGTTTAGTGGAGATCGCATCCGCATACATTTTTTGCTGTTGCAATACAAAAATAGTGATGTCAATGTATTGTAATAAACTGCCTTATTATATAAATTGTCAGATTTATGCGTATGAAAAAGACCGTGTTGTTGCTAAAGAATACGTGTTTGAGATCTTTCTTACCTCGTAAATGTATCCTCGGATAGGAGTAGAAATAATCGCATGCGTTCCGTCTTTAAAGTCAACTGTCATAGTGTCAGTCAGTTTGGGGACAGAAGTAGCCAATATATAGTATGTAAAGCTAAATGGTGCTCCTTTTCGCATTATATTTAGCCCATAAAAAGTGTACTTAGTTCTAGCAGGGGGCACAAACATCATATCTGTAGTATACAAATAAACATATCAATGAACAGGTGTAGAACTGATGCATTTAAATATTATATAAGCTGTTTCAAAGCTTCCAAATCTATTTCTTGTGGTATTTCATCTTCTTTTCATTAACGTTAATTAAACGGCGACATCGATGCAATTTTTAAAAAAAAGTATTTTTAATTAGTTATGTAATTTTAAAAAATGGCATTTTAATTATATAATTTTAAAAAGTACTTTTAATTATGTAATTACAAAAACATTTTAATTACATAATTTTAAAAAGTATTTTATGTCTAGAAAGACACAATAATATGTCATCAGGCCTACCTACTGCAAATTGTTTTCTACTATATTCTGAAGCAACTAATAATCCAAAAGCAGCAGTGCCATCGAAATAGACAACTGAAGTGTGAAAAAAGAAGTATTTTTATTTATAAAACATTTAAAATTAACAAGTTAAACTTCGTTTAATTTTATCCAAAAAGTATAATCCGATAATGGTAGTTTAGTGCGGTTTACCTTGTGTAAGCATTCGGCTGTCGGCGTGACGGAACCCTTGATACGTGTATGGTTGAAATCTGGAAGAAGTACTAACTTTATAAATTTAAAAATACAATACAAAAAAAATATTAACATATTTACCATATTAAAGCGTAAATCATTTAAAGTTTATATCAAATGTCTACACAACGTCATTGTTTGTGATGATTTGAAGAGACTATACATGGTACTGAGTGGCTTAGTGACAGAGCGCTAGACTGCTAACCAGTAACTCTCGTTTATACCGTCCCTGAGTCCACCCAGCTCTGATGGGTACCGAACTCGCTTGTCACACTATCTCGTATTAGGCCGAGGTCACAGAAACAGGTGAACTTTACTTCACCTGCCCCATAGACCGTCAGGTTTAGAAGGGGAACTTTACAATCCATGTCTCAGTGTTTCGTTCACTTCGATATATGGAGCCTAAATAAAGAGTTTGCATTTAGTATGGAGTTTACCTACACAAACACCTCTTCTAATCACTTGGATATTTTCGTGATACACGTTTGTGTCCAAAAATATTTTCAAACTTTTGTTTCTGCATGTTTTTTTTCTCCTGAGGTTTTATCTCAAGTTGTCAAACTACAGAACGCCATCTTACTTTGAAAAACTTTTCTTATCTTATTCTTCTTCTTCGTTCTTAATTATTAGTGTTGAAGAGGATCGAGATTTATCTGCCAGTGGGTTTGAACTCGAGACTTTTGTTCAACCATGAGCTTTTTTTCTTTTTTTTGCCGACTCGACCACGCCTCCAACACACTTAAGCGTTACGTGTCAACTGGTTATGCGCCATTGAGACCATTGACTCCGATTTCAGCCTGCTTTTCTTTTTGGATTTGCTTCCATAGCCTTTGTCCAACCAAGAACAAACTACAAGGCAGCAGTTGTTTAATTTTGGAGTTGTCTCTCCTAGAAGAGTGGCTGTCCCCAGCTAACGAACCTCATCTGCCCGAGGGTTCGAACTCGAGACTTTTCGGTTTAGAAACCATGAGCTTTACCGACTCGACCACGCCGACCCCCTACTTTTCTTATGTTCTAGGAATGTTTCGTTTAGGACTCTAGCTCTGTGTCTTATAACCATTTTTTACGCAAATTTATTAAATCCATATTAACTATAATTACTTTAGTATATGATTAAACATTTCTATTAAACAATTCTTCATTTTAACCCTATATAGGCTAACGGTACTTATAAGTACCACTTTAATTAAGCGCGTGTGGTATTTTTAATTTAAGATGAATGCTCGATATTATTGATGTAATTAAGAGGAGGGGGACGGAGTGGTCTAGCGGTGGAGAGCTGGACTGCTAACCCCTAAGTCTCGAGTTCGAATCCGGGTTCAAGTCAGTAGACCGTCCCTGAGTCCACCCAACTCTGATGGGTACCTAACTCGCGTTAGGGAAAGTAAAGGCGGCTGGGCATAATGCTGACCGCAGTATCTCTTCATATGCCGAGGTCACAGAAACAAGTGAACTCTACTTCACTTGCCCTATAGACCGTCAGGTTTGGAAGGGAATTAAGAGGATTTAAAGTTTAATTAGCTGTTATGTTCTAATATTAAAAAAAAATATTCACGATTTAACATCATGTTGCTCAAAATTGTTGGTTGATGATACGATGCAATAGTTTTCACTCTTTGTGCCAATTGATCCATAATACTGTATTCTAATAGCCTGGTCCACTAGACTTAACAGGACTGCCCACTCATACTTTCTGAAAATTAAACAGCAAACATATATAGATACATGGATTAGGATATTCAAATGTAACTCTAAATCATTTTAAGTAAAGGCTAAGGGCAATGCTATGGGTAATGCTAAGGGTAATGCTAAGGTTAAGGTTAAGGTTACGGTTAAGGTTAAGGTTAAGGTTAAGGTTAAGGTTGAGGTTGAGGTTGAGGCTGAGGCTGAGGCTGAGGCTGAGGCTAAGGCTAAGGCTAAGGCTAAGGCTAAGGCTAAGGCTAAGGCTAAGGCTAAGACAAGGTAAGCAAAGCTAGGCTACTTACGATGGCACTCGCATCATAACACCGTACGACTTTAGCCAGTACGATTGTGGAACAGCTCGAACGCTGTCGTAGTTGGCAATTTTATCGCTCGTCATGGCAATGAAATCGAAAGGGTGGGCTGCTTCCATTTCAATCAGGAAGTTAGGGAGGTTTCTTATGTTCGGCCTATACAAAAATTTACACATGATGTATAAACTATTAGGCGAAAAAAAAACCACTATACCGTGGCTTGTAGGTAACCATCGTTAGCCATGATTTAACACTGTCGCAACCACACTGTAACCTAAACTCAATTTTTTTTTTAATGGCTGTTAAACCTGCGGGAGTCGTATGTCGAAATTGCGGAGCGGAACATATCGGGACCGTATGTCGTTGGCCGAGTTATGATGGTTACTGGAACTCGGGTTAGATGTGGCTGGGCATGGTGCTGATTGCATCATCCCTTCGTATGCTAACTTTATATAAACAAATGCGCTTATTTCATCTACCCTGTGCACCGTAAGGTTTAAATAGGGTAAATATTATACTCACCCTCAAAATAATCAACGAACGCAAGTGTAACTTCAGCTTAAAACCAAACAAAACCACAAAGCAACTATTCGGGATATTGTTAAATAACAAATTTCGGAAAAAAAAATTCTAGGACAACAGTAACCTTAATTCAAACATATAAGTGCAACTTCAGCTTAAAATCAAACCAAAACCACAAACAACTATTCAGGATATAGGGGTCGTCCATAAATGACGTCAAAATCGAAAGGGAATAGGGGGAATGTGCGTAATTTTGTGACGGTGTGTGACAAGAGGGAGGGAGGGGGGGGGGGGTCAGATGGTGTGACGTCACACTTTTGCATTATAAAAAAACAATGTTAGAAAACGTATTTTAGTCGTTATTTCGCGTTTCAGAAAACATCTTTAATAAATTGTAATAGGAATTGATTAAAATACTCTATGTTGATTGAGTTCAGACAAGATTTTTGGAAAAATATCGATGTTTTAAGAAAAATTCAACCAACTTTGAGGGGGGGGTTGTAGACTGAGGTGTGACGTCATTTTAGCAGGGTTCTGGCCTTTTGTGACGCTGTGTGACGGAGGGGAGGGGGGAGGAAAAAAATCATCCAAAATCGTCGTATGGATGACACCTTAGCTTTGAAGCTAGATTTGAAATAATACTTACAAGCCTAATACTATAAATGATTTTTTTATAAACAAGAAGCTTTTTCATGGTGCAAAAACAATATAAATTGTGTTTAAGACAAATCTCATCCTTATACATTTACTTGTATTTTAAATAAAGTTAGAACTTTTTTTTTTCAACTTTAGAGCGCATTACGGTAAGCGAAACTAGACAGACAGACACAAAGACAGACAGACAGACACACACACAGACAGGATAATAACGTGTGTGTTTGGTGTTGGTGAAACGGTTTAACAAAATGCTTACGCATCAGTAAAGACGTGTGTTGCTCTGGAGTTCTGTCTCAGCTTGTGAGTAACCGTAGATTCCACATTCCTCCCCAGAACATAATTTATATAACGTATCTGTGAATTAAAAGAGATAGATAAAAAACAGAGCCAGCTTACATTTTACGTAGGCGGTTTCTTACATTCTAATCAGAGTTGAACATGAACATTTTCAGATAGGCCTACAGTTAGGAATCGCGCTGTTTTCCTTATTTAAAGATTGCGTCTTTTATTGAAACTACTATTGAATGTTAATACTAACAATAATTTAAAAAAAAAAAACAGCTAATATCACAGAGGTAGATATATTTTAATATACGGATGTTTAATTTAATAAAAAGTGTAGACAGTGGCGTCGCTATGTCGGGTCTGCCCCCACCCCAGAAACAAACTATATATACATATATATATATATATACATATATGTGTGTGTGTATGTGTATATATATGTTTGTGTCGCCCTACATATACGTGTATAAACTTTAATCACTGCAGAAGTAATAGTAAAGATGTTTATCTTTAGTAGGTTAATAATACAGTTGGATAGAGCAATGTTTTCTCTATAGATAGCACATTTACGCCATGGTGTCATCCCAACGTTATGTAATAGTTATCGATTTGTACATAAAAGACTAATTAACTTTAATTAATCATCAATGGAACTGGCAGAAAAACCTTTTTCTTCTGAACATTTTTCAATTTTTAGTCTTGGTGTCACCCCCCTAAATGGTGTCACCCGGTGCGCTCCGCACCCCTCCCGCCCTGCCCTCGCTACGCCTCTGAGTATCGATACTTTTGAGATAATAAGCTCTAAGAGTATGCTCGCGTTGCCTGCTAATAAAATAATCGACTACGTTTACCGGGAATAAAAATAAAATTGTTATATTTTTCATTTATATAACCTTTTAAAAAAAATAAACGCTATTGAAATTTTTTTACCATTTTAGTTTTTAGGCTACTTAAAAAAATTCAGTTTTTTCTTGTTTTTATGGTACTTTGTATCTAGTACAATAGACTAGGTTTAGGGTATGTGTACTAATGGTGGATAATTTCCCCTATATACATTCTCTAAAGTGTAGAAGCCCATAAATCACAAATCAGTTTAATACATAACATCCACTTTCAGAGAAACAAAACATAGTCTAGTAAACAAAAGTGTGATTTATTATTTAAATAAAAATTATATGTACATAACAATACGTACGAGTACCAAGACTTAGTTTAATACTGCAAATTTGTCATTTTATTTTAATGATGATGAAGATGATGATAACAATGGTGATGATGATGGTTATAACGATAATGATGATAATGATGATTATGATTATAATGATGATGGTGATGATGATGATGATGATGATGATGATGATAATGATTATGATTATGATTATGATTATGATGATGATGATGATGAAGATGAAGATGAAGATGAAGATGAAGATGAAGATGATGATGATGATGATGATGATGATGATGATGATGATGATGATGATGATGATGATGATGATGATGATGATGATGATGATGATGAAGATGTCGAAGATGAAAATCATGATGAAGATGAAGATGATGATGATGAGGAGGATGATGATGATAATGATGATATGATGATTATGATGATGATGATGATGATGATGATGATGATGAAGATGTCGAAGATGAAAATCATGATGAAGATGAAGATGATGATGATGAGGAGGATGATGATGATAATGATGATATGATGATGATGAAGATGATGATGATGATGATGATGATGATGATGATGATGATGATGATGATGATGATGATGATGATGATGATGATGATGATGATGATGATGATGATGATGATGATGATGATGATGATGATGAAGATGTCGAAGATGAAAATCATAATGAAGATGAAGATGAAGATGATGATGATGATGATGATGATGATGATGATGTCGAAGATGAAAATTATGATGACGATGAAGATGATGATGATGATGATGATGATGATGATGAAGATGATGATGATGATGATAATGATGATGATAATGATGATGATGTCGAAGATGAAGATGAAGATGATAATGATGATGATGATGAAGATGATGATGATGATGATGATGATGATGATGATGATGATGATGATGATGATGATGATGATGATGATGATGATGATGATGAAATATAAATCCCAGCAAAACTCGCCTGAACGGTGTTCTCCGGGTACACACTAAGGAATGTTATCGTGTAGGTAAAATTGTTTACGGCAGGGTTCGGTCCCCATAGGTACACGACCTCATTGGCAGCAGCCACATTACCTGTATCGGGATGGGGAAAAATTTTAGCCACCAATATAACAGCTTTCCCCAGACTTTTAATGACAAGAAGCCCTCGTACACTTTCTCTTAAGAGAGTAATGTATTGGTACATAAATAGGAATATGTTTCTTTGTAGGCTACGCTCTGCTGGCTTCCTTAATGTTTAGTATTCGTTTCCTAAAATAGTAACTAAAAATAGCAGCTAATATAACATCCTCTCCCGGATTTCAACGATAAATGACAAGTGTAAGTCTAAAACTTTTTTTTAAGAATGTACTATATATATATATATATATATATATATATATATATATATATATATATATATATATATATATATATATATATATATATATATATATATATATATATATATATATATATGGACATAACCCTTGGGCCTTTTCCTTTTATACCACAAATAAAATTAGTCGAAAATAAAGCCATTTCACTAAAACCTAACTAAAAACTATACGTTCAACAAACTACAAGAAGAAGACGTAATACTCCATCGCCTTTAATCTGATCATAGCAACGATCAGTTGCCGCTTTACGGACATGACTTAATCTTAAAGTTAAGCATAAAGATTTCAACGAACCCTTTTTAGCCATCCAGAGAAAACATACTAAAAGCACGTTTCTTTCGTACATTGTGAGCTGCCTTCCTTTCTTCTAGTCCAAAATATGTGTAACCGATTGTTGTCGATCACATTGTGTCATTTATCTGTCAAGAAATAAATAACTTAACATTTTTACGTATGTCATATGACACACTGATAGTTCTGATTACAAACTCTAGGCAATTAGCCTAGCTTGGCTTAGGTTTTCCAAAAACAAAAAATGACGCCTTGAAATCTTTTCCTTTACATAACCATATAATAATACTTACCAGTGCCAAAATTTACACTATTGTTAATTTAAAACACGCATTTAAGGTAAGGTTAGTATTTTAATCATTAAAAACCTGAAAATGTCCTTTTTTCACTTATTTAATTTACCAAAATGTCAGTAGAAGAAAATTTGTTGAGGTAGGGCACTCGTCTGCTATCCCTAAAGTCTCATGTTCAGATCCCTACACTAAAAAGGTAAGATATCCTTGAGCCAACCAGAACACTAAACCCGCTTATGTCAAGGTCACAGGAACAAAGTAAACTTCAACTCTCTAAGAACTGATTATATATATATATATATATATATATATATATATATATATATATATATATATATATTTATATATATATTGTGATACATACATAATATTCAACATACGATATGGTAGGGAGGTGTATAACGATTACATTACTTTCTCTATACCCCACACAGGGGTCATCCATAAATGACGTCACGCTTTTTTGGACTATTTTACCTCCTTCCTCCCCTCCGTCACACATCGTCACAAAATGCCAGACACCTCTCGCCCCCCCCCCTAAAAATGACGCCACACCTCAGCCTACTACCCCCACCCCCCACCCCCCCGCCCCGCCCCTCAAAATTGCTGTTGAATTTTTCTAAAACATCAACATTTTCCCAAACAGAGTATTTTGAAGAATTCCGATTACGATTTTTTACAAGTTTTCTTAAACGCGAAATAACGGCTAAAACTTGTTTCCCAACATTGCTCACCTTCACAAAATTACGGACCCCCCTCCCCCCTACGAGTGTGACGTTGTTTAAGGACGACCCCATATGAGAATGTGAAAACTATAATCGTAGAGGACTACGTATTTGCTTGTTTATATATATATATATATATATATATATATATATATATATATATATATGTAAGTATATGTTACGTATGGCTACAGGACATTACCCCCCCCCCCCGGAAATTATCCCCCCGGACACCCCCCCCCCCCCCTAATTACCCCCCTGCCCTGTAGCAATTACCCCCCTGTCAATTACCCCCCCCCCCCCCCCGGGGGAATTACCCCCCCCCCCCCTCAAGTTAGAATCCCAACTCTAACTAGAATTCTATACCTATATACTACCTTAATCCAAACCTTAAGAAAAAGACCAAAACCTAAGCATCCACCTTAGCCTTAAACTTCACACAAAACCAAAACCAACGCTAGACATTGGTTTAAGCCTAATCCTAACCCTAGCTCTAAGCCTAGCTCTTACCCTAACTCTAGCCCTAACCCTAGCCCTAACCCTAACCCTAACCCTAGCCCTAGCCCTAGCCCTAGCCCTAGCCCTAACCCTAACCCTAACCCTAGCCCTTACCCTAACCTTAACCCTAGCCCTTACCCTAACCCTAACCCTAGCTCTAACCCTAACCCTAGCCCTAATCCTAACCCTTACCCTATCCGGGGGGGGGTAATGTCCTACTGGGCGGGGGGGGGGTAATTGACAGGGGGTAATTGACAGGGGGTAATTACTCCGGGGTAATGTCGGGGGGGGAAATGTCCGGGGGGGGGGGTAATTGACAGGGGGGAAATGCCCTGTTCCCGTTACGTATATGTATATGTATGTGTTTGTGTATGTGTATGTGTATGTGTGTGTATGTGTATGTGTATGTGTATGTGTATGTGTATGTGTATGTGTATGTGTATGTGTATGTGTATGTGTATGTGTATGTGTATGTGTATGTGTATGTGAATGTGTATGTGTATGTGTATGTGTGTGTGTGTGTATGTGTATGTGTATGTGTATGTGTATGTGTATGTGTATGTGTATGTGTATGTGTATGTGTATGTGTATGTGTATGTGTATGTGTATGTGTATGAGTATGTGTATGTGTATGTGTATGTGTATGTGTATATGTATATATATATATGTATAT